GCGGTTCTTTCCTCATTCACCTGTTACCGGTCCTTTCTCTTTCTCTCTCCTGCCTCCGGCTGTTACCTGACGATAGACAGGATGTATCGCTCCGAGTACTCCGGGTACGAATCACGTGCCGTGACGCATGTTGTCCCCAGGAGACAATAAAAGGGCGGAAGGAGGTCCGGAATGTTCTCCAAACTTTTTCCAGCGGAAGCGTTTCGCTCGCAACCAACCGGGAACGTTGAAATTTTAACCAGCCAGTGGATCCTATGACTATAAATTAAATAAAAAAGATTCACGTTGGTACAAAAAAATTATTTGGATATTTTTATATTATATGTTTATTTAAAATCAGATATATTTTTTTTTATTTTATTATTTTATTATATATATTTTTTAGTGTAAATATATAAATATATATTATATATTTACATTTATAATCATCTCTTTTATTATACATCAATCGATATCAAATATCGAAAGTGTAATAAATATATCGATAATAATTTTTTAATTTGATGAATTAATTTATCGATATTTTTTTGTGTTAAATTATGTTTGGCAAATAATAATATAGGAATGTATAATATTACCTATATATGATTCGTATCCTTCTGAGAGCTTTTTTATGTTTCCTCGTGAAAAGACGCAATTTCAGATATTTTCGTATAGTAACACCACGGTGGTTGAAAAATTCAAAGATGCGATACATTAGCGTTTCCGATGTCGTGAAAAGCTACGGCGCTGTTAAGTCGTGGGATCAGACGGGATTCCGGAAGAATTTTCGTATAATCTTCTGGCGACGAACAAAAATGGCGACGCGGGGAGAGAAATGAGGCGTTGCGATAAATCGCGCCGAAGACAAGAATGAAAAGGAAATGGTACCACGTAGATATCTCGCTGAAAGCTCCGCGAAGTCATCCCTCTCTGATAAATTCAGTCGAATGCGATATTTTTTCGTCAGCTCCGGAAAGCAAGCATGGAAGACGAAGGGACCATAATGATCCTAAAGAAGTCAAATAGGGAAAAAATATCCGCTTAATCAGAAGTTTCATTTACAGAGATTCGCGTGACATGTATATCGTTCGTTTTTTCATTTTTTCCCTTCGCGTAAATTTTATTATTTATACGTGGAGGGAATTTTTCGTTATATATTCAATATTCACTACAAAATCATGTTTAGTTATAAGTCGAAAATTATTATACTGCATATTAAAATTATCGTGAACGATTAAAATATTATGCTGCAGTGTAATATTTATATAAAATATTTATATATTATATTTGTCACTTTTTCGACATCTATTCACGCACTCAAAGAATCATAAGTTTTTAACATATTTTTAAAGTATTGAAATTTTACTGTACATTTTATCAATCAAATATTTTATATTTTATTGTGATAGATATTAATATTTTTTATTGTGATCGATATTAATCAAATTCTTATAAAATTCTTCGAAATATTAGAATATAAATTTTAATATTTAGAATATAAATTCTAATTGTAAAAGAAAATTATCTCGATGCACGCAATTTTTGATGCAATTTTATTACATTTTAATAAAATTAATCGAACATGCTTTATATTTTATTGTGGTTGATATTAATAATTTTTATTGTGGTAAATATTAATCAAACTCTTATAAAATTTTTTCGAAATATTATATCGTTGCACGACCATGATTTTCAGGATAAATTCTAAGGAAAATTTTCTTTACGCACCCAATTTTTTGATGAAATTTTATTATACATTTTAATAAAATTAATCGAATGTATTTTATATTTTATTGTGGTAGATATTAATCAAACTCTTATACATTTTTTTCGAAATATTATATTGTTCCATACGTCTACCATGATTTTCAGGATAAATTCTCAGGGAAAATTCCCTCTGTGGATGAAATTTTTTGATGAAATTTTACTTTACATTTTAATAAAATTAATCGAACATTTTATATTTTATTGATATAGATATTAATATTTTTTATTGTATAGGGTAGATATTAATTAAACTCTTCTAAAATTCTTCGAAATATTAATATCATCCCACGACTATCATGATTTTCCGGATGAATTCTAAGGGAAAATTCTCTCTGTGTACGCAATTTTGTGATGATCCCTATATCCCCATAATCACGTTTCACGCGGAATTTAAAAGAGAGACACGATGTAATTCCAATCCACGTCGCTTCCACGCCGTCGTCGTCGTCACGTTTTCAATGAAAGGGATTCTTTTACCTCCGACTCGTAATGTAATTGAAAGTTTCATCAACCGGGAGTGAGCAAGCTTCCGCCAAGCTTATCCACTCGGCCGGATGGACCACGATTATATTCATTGCACCGGCAACCGCGGGTGAATTGAATATCACTTCGCGACACGGGGCACAATACCTTTTATGCCCTGTCCTTTGGTGCATTCTGTCGAGAAGTTTCGTTCGGCTAATGAAATTTCTCCCGGGATAGGAAGGATGCGCTTCTCCGTTCAGTCGAGCGATAAACGCTTTTCGACGTTGCTCGAAGTCAATCAGATCGCAGTTCTCCTTCAAGAGAGAGAGAGAAAGAGAATGCAGTTCGGATATAGAATGAAAGAGTTTTGAAACAAGTTGGAAGAGGAAATTGAAGCATCGCTCATAGAGGAATGGGACAAAGGGTTTGATGGTTGGAAAATGCGAATAACGAGCATTGTTTCTATTAAGAGTGTCTATGTAGAATACCTGAACCTATTTATTACTAAAATTAAATTCTAGTATATTTTTACGCTGAAAAAAATTTGTTAACTCGACTAAATTACTATTTTGTTAAATCAACATATATTAGTATTTGAGTCAAATATATGTATGTTTTTGTTAGATTTAATATGTTATATTTAATTTAAATATTTTTATAGGTTCAATTAAAAAAATAATATTTAGTTGAAGGGTTTAGTCAAGTTAACAATTTTTTTTTAGTGTATAGAGACTCGGCTGCATTTTTAGTTTCTAAAAAACTGCAAAATTATTATAGAGTGTCTAGCGGCCAGGAAAATCTGGAAAACCGGGGATTGTCAGGGAATTTTATAAATCTGGAATTGTTAAGGAAAAGTCAGGAAATTTTACTATTTGTCTGGATTTTTTCACGTTATTCTACATTTGTCTCAATGATTTGAAATTTTTTATTTAATAAATTTTATTAATTTATATTTTCATCGTCGTATTATTTTATTTCAATATGTTTGATAGAGACAAAACTAAAAAAATTGATATAATATAAATAAAAAAGGTGATCAATTAAATAGTTTATAGTGACATGTTTGTTTCGATTATCGTACATAATGCAGATTGTATAATTGATTTAAATTTTTGTTTTTTTAACTTCCGAACCTTTTCATGTTGACAAAAATATCTCAAGGATTTCATGAATTAACATTAAATTAATTTATCATATAGATATATGCAAATTATATATTTGGAAGAAATAATACTAAAAAGTCAGGGAAAAAATGAGTGATTCTGGTCTCGGAAAATCTGAAAAGGTCAGGAAATTTTTTCATTGAGTCTGCTGGACACCTGATTTTTAATTTCCATTAATAAAAGTCAGAAATGATTTGACTGTCACGAATCTATATAAAGTTAAATAATTCTCTGATAAAATTATTTGCGTTATATATGCAAGTCTCCGATAAAAACAAATGGGATTCTCCCGCTGAAAGAGAAGCCGTCGTACATCGAACCGGATGCGAAAGGTTTTTATTTTCACTTCGGTTCGCAGTCAAGCGAGATTCCACGCTCTCGGTCATGTATGTATGCACTTGCATGCGAGACGCGATATCGGTCGAGAAACTTTGCAGGAAGTTGGATGGAAAGGCAAAAAGAGAGAGAGAGAAACAAGAGTTGGCAACCGATGAGAAAGGAAAAGGAGGAGCATTATATTGGAATATCGAGCTTCTTCTCTCGCTTGAAAAATTCGGGAAAAGGACCCACGAGAGAAAAAAAAGGGAAGAAGAGTCCTCTTTCGACATCACAGAGCGCGAAACGAGAGAGTGCAACGTTTGTCACGCGAGTGCATTCTACCGATGCACATGCAGCCTTGCAAGGCTGCATCGTAATCCGAAGCGAGGAATGCGGGAATCCGCGTAAAGTGTGCGACGTCTTATACGGTAGAAAGGTCTGAAATTATGAGTACACATGCACACTCGCCTCTCTTCATCTCGCCTTCTCACGACATGCATTTCCGTGAGCTTCAGAACGCGGAGGCTGCTGCATATGCGGAGAAAAGCGCAGGAATTAACTGCGATTACGAGCGTTTAATAGTCCAACGCGATAATTTAATGCTTCGCTCGAATATTTGTCGCTGAATTAATACTCGCATGATGCTTAGAAATTTTACGGCCAACGCGTGCGCTTAATTAAAGTGATGCAGTTATACGCGCATGAACGGAGAGGATCTGCCTTTAATAGGGATGACGCGAGAGAAAAATATTTACAAACATTCTTTGGGGTTATTATAGTTTTTTTTTTACATCCATCGCATGTGTAGATTTGCATATTTATTATTTTATTTTTTTTTGTATTATCTATTTGTTATTATATTATTTTTCTTTTATATTATTTATCTTTTATTATATTATTTTATTTATTTTTATGAATCATTTTATAATTCTATAAAAAGGAAATGTACACACGGAGAGAATTTTCTCTTAGAGTTTATCCTGAAAATCATATAGTAAGAATTTATAAAATTTTCTGTGATTAAGTATTTATACCGCAACAACAAAAATATTAATATGTGCATAATAAAATTAATCGAACATAGTTTATATTTTTTTAAGGTAGATATTAATGTTTTTATTGTAATAAATATTAATCAGGAAAACTTTCATAAAATTCTTTCAATACCATGATATATATTCATATTTTCAGGGTAAATTCCAAATTCTAAAATTCTGTGTAGGATTCAATAAGAGGATCTGTTTTTTTAATGTTTCAGTGTGTAATTGTCACTTTTAATTAACGGATTGTATGCATTTTTTGCAGCTCACGTGGACAATGAGGTGTACTTAGGAAGGGCGTTAGAGAGACTCGGTGATGCCGCTTTAAAGGAACAGGAACCGGACATAGGCGCGGCGTTCCTCAAATTCGCGGTGGTCACTAAGGAACTCAGCGCCCTCATGAAAACTCTGGTACGTGTTTCACAAGCGAAATTTACACGTTACATACGCGAGTCACGAAATATTCCGTGTTTTCAGTAGCTGATGCGACCCGTGGAATATTTCGCTTCTTGTCGCTTTATCCATATATTTTATACGATGAACGTGTATATTCCGAATATGCAATTACTTGAAAAATTCAAAATTGCGAGTTCCGTTGAAAAACATCGAAGGTATAAATTATAATTAAAAAAACGCGTCACGTTAAGAATATCAAGAAATTTCAGGGTGTCTAGCGGTCAAAGAATTTTATAAATCTGCTGGAATTGTCAGGGAAACAAGTCAGGAAATTTACTATTTATCTGGATTTTTTCACATTATTCTACATTTGTCTCATTGTCAATAATTTGACATTTTTTTATTACATAAATATAAATTTTTCTTGACTCCCAGCACGCTAATTTTCTGTGTTGTTAAAAATCGATTCATCTACAGCATGTTCGTTAATTTATATTTTTATCGTCGTGTTACTTTATTTCAAGGTATTATATATTTCAAAATATATTATAACATATTGCTCAAGAATGATAATATTATTCAAGAACTTCATTTTAATTCATTTTTTATGAAAAATTAATACATGAATTTTATAAAAAATATTTTATTGAAAAGTTTTGTTGTGATATTAGATACCATTAAATATATTAAAATATATGTATTATAATTTGTTAAAATATATTAAAAATAAAATTTGATATAATATAAATAAAAAAGGTGATTATTTAAATAGTTTATAGTGACATATGTTTGTTTCAATTATCGTACATATAATGCAGATTGTATAATTGATTTAAATTTTGTTTTAGCTTCCGAATATTTTTATTGTTGACAAAAATATCTCAAGGATTTCATGATTTAACATTTAATTGATTTATCATATAGATATATGCAAATTATATATATTTGAAATAAAATTAATACTATAACAAATCAGGGAAAAAATTAATTTTTGGTCTTGGAAAATCCAAAAAAGTCAGGGAATTTTTTTCATTGAGTCTGCTGGACATCCTGAATCTTTAAATGACACGCAAAAGAGGCGTCGAAGGAATAAATTATAATTTTTAAAATAGGTCGCGTCAGCGTATAACTAAACATTTTAAAAATCCGTAAAATCACAAATCGTGCATCATTGTTGACATTTTATCGGAGTCTGAAATTTTTACGATTCATCAGGCGGAGCTATTAATAACGTCATAAATGCGCCCTCGATGCATCGTACGCGCATTATTGGAAAAATTTCTTCACGGTCCATTCGACCGATGGGCAACGACCCTAAGTCCAGTAGCGTAGTTCTTCGTTACGTTGGTGTAGGTGCGAAAATAGAATTTCTAAACCGGCGATCAATAAAATGAAAAGCGTACGCCGACGTGCGCGACGAAATACAATTTCACGAAAGTAGAGAGATTCGCAAAGAGAGTCTCAAGACTTTCGCGATTAATGTGGTTCATCTTATCGAGGAAGAAGAAAACGGCTTCTCAGAGATCCTCATATGACATTCGTGCGACACGCGTGTTCTGTAGGAGATGAAATTATTCTGCTAAAACAATTTCCATCACCGTGGAATGTTGTTACCTTCGACCAGTGTTTGCGGTTATCTAAATAAAATTATATAGATGATCATCTAGATGAAACTTTGGCGTCTTATTATCTTGATATAAATAATAAAAATATTATCTACATTTGCATCTTATTGTTAGATGAAAATAAGTATTGTCTTTACCTAATTATACTAGAATAATTTTTATATAATTTTGGTTTAGAATCATAGCACATAAAAATATTTAGATAGTAGAAACTTAAGCAAGTAAGCGATAAAAATTATACTTTATAATAAAAATATGAATACATATGTATATTTTTATATCCTTTTTATAATTTACTTTTTTTTATAACTGTGTTTACATAAGCAGTTTTAAAAATTATCTAGATGAATCGTCATATAATTTTATCAAGATATATTTAAAACAAAATCATCTTCATATCATCTAAGATGAATTGGCATATTTTTATCTCATCTTTATTTAGCTAATTTTAATATTATCTAAGCACAAACACTGCATACAACGTATATGCGCGATATCTGGGTCGCGATGAACGATGAATACGGGATGAATGTAAATTTGCACGAATGTAGACTCTCGACTCTCTATGCTTAATCTTCTCCAGCGTCCAACATTCAACTAACTCAGCTGTCGAACATATTCGTGACTTTTCGTCTCGCGATCCGGATTCTCTCGACTTGTCAGTTTGACGTTCCAGTTTATGATTTATTATACATTCAAATTGCATAGTAGTCGTATAAATATTGCTTTGTAAGATAAATTCAAGAATTCTGTCCGTTGAAAATTCGATAATCATTGCATATATGGCATGCACGCAGAAGTATTTGCGATACATTTTTTTGTTCTTTTTTCTAGATTGAAAAAAAATTGTTAACTTGACAAATCTTTCAACAAAATTATGATTTTGTTAATTGAACATATATTAGTACACAGAGAGAATTTTTTTTTAGAATTCACTCTGAAAATCTCATGATAATATGGTATTGGAAGAATTTTATAAGAGTTCCTCTGATTAAAAACATTTAGGACAATAAAAAATATTAATATTATATGGTAAAATTAATCGAACATATTTTATATCTTATTATAGTAGATATTAATATTTTTATTGTGGTAAAGGTAAATATTTAATCAGAGAAACTCTTATATAAAAATTCTTCCAATACGTATTCGCTTAATTTACTATGTACACAGTGATTAATATGTACTATAAAAAAATATTTAATATCTATCACAATAAGATAAAATATTCGATCAATTTACTGTGTACATATAGTGATTAATATTTATCATAATAAAAATTCTTAATATTTATCACAATAAGATAAAAATATGTTCGATTGATTGTACTATGTACATAGTAAAATTAATCGAACATATTTTATATCTTTATATCTGTATTGTGTGATAGATATTAAATATTTTTATCGTGATAAATATTAATCAGAGAAATTCTTATAAAATTCTTCCAATACCATATGGTCTCCCGATTCTCTCTGTGTATTCAAATCAAATACATGTTTTGTTAGATTTATTTAATATTATACCTTTTATTTAAATATTCAGTTACATTTAATTTAAATATTCTATATGTTCAATGAACAAAATATCATTTAGCTGAAAGGTTTAGTCTATTTTTTTCAGTGTAAAAGTAAAAGAATAAAATTATTTGTTGCTCTGAGAAAGACATTTATTTGTTCGCAAGATGCGTTTCGATCCATTATATCCAGTCTACGGCAAATACTAAAGAATCTCTTTGGCATGCTCGTATATTTTCACTTTTCTGGCGTTCTCTAAGCTACAGCCATTACTTTATGCTGACACAATTGTGCTAAGCTAGGAGAGAAGACCCTCGTAATTTCCTGCCACTGTGCGGCTCCTTTCTTCTTCGAGCCTGAGGCTGCTCGTCGTTTTGCTGAATTAAGAAACTCGATTCGGCCGTATTATACAGCAAGTCCACGTTAACAGGATGTGCCTCTCGCGTAAAAGGTCCGGAAGACGCGTATATTAGAGACGGAAGTGGCACTTTCACGCAAAGAGAAGTATAATACGCGAAACGACACATGTACTCATAATATATCTTTCGCTTTTAATTATATGTAATTTAAGCAACAAGAGAGAGAGCTCAGTTTAAACGTACAAATAACTTGATGAATCTTATGCATAAACTTCACAGGATATATTATTTAAAAAATTTATATTGATAATTTAGATGAAATTCTTTTTAAGCTTCCATGCGCGATATTTATTTCATCGACGAAGAAGCACAAATAATAAATATCCTGTATTTGAATAAAACATCCAGGATTGGGTAATAACTAGTTAAAAGTTAAAAAAAAAAGTTAAAAAGTTAATAACTTTTAACTTAGCTTAATTAATTTAAAATTTATTAATTTTTAAATTCAACTAGTATTTTTTACCTTGAACTTATTAACTTTTATCCCAAGTTAAATTTTTTATCTCTGAATACCATTATTGTTCTTTTATAAGTTATTATACACGTATTATTTTTAAATTAAAGTATTATTAATTTTTATGTTCATCTGTCATCAATTGTAATTACCAAAAAGTACATTTCTATATAAAAATCAAAATGTCTTTGTTATTTGTTACATATTTTAAAAGAATTATCAAACAAAATTCTAATGTAATATAAATAATATTTTTGAAAATTAATTTTGATTTAACTTCAGTTAATTAAATTTTAACTTAACTAAATTAGTTTAAAAAAATCATTAACTCTACCCAACCCTGGTTTGAATAAAACATCTAATGCCAATAAATTAGCTGAAAAAAATTACATTGATAATTCAGATAAAATTCTTTTTAAGCTCCCATGCGTGATATTTTATTTCATTAACGAAGATGCACGAATAATAAATATGCTGCGTTTGAATAAAATATCTTCTAATGCCAATGAATTAGCTAGAAAAAATAGAGACAAGTAATAATCCTCTCTGGGCGTGGATTTAAAAGCGGACGGTGGAGATTTAAACTGGTTCTGCGTATACGTTCCGATGATTTCCTAAGCTCCTAAGCTATGCAGCGCAAATCGGGACGTCTCACGGCAGTGGGATAATTACGTTTACTGAAGCGTGTACACGCTTATAAGCTGCATGAGAAAAAGAGGAGAGGGAGAGAGAAGGCAAATAGCAAGACTCTCCTAGATTCTATCACGCACGAGCGACCGCGAATTTATATTTATCGGGACTTTAAACGTGCCACTCGCCTCGGTTGCGATTTCAGCATGGATCGGGGCCGATCGCAGATTGAATCTAAATTCCGTTTATGTGCGATTCTTATTTTTTTTTATTTATTTAAAAAAATTTTTTTAAAAGTTAGGAAATTTTACTATTTATCTGGATTTTTTCACATTATTCTACATTTGTCTCAATAATTGACATTTTTTATTAAATAAAATATAAAGTTTGCCTTAACTCCCAGCACGTTAATTTTCTGTGTTGTTAAAAATCGATTCATCTACAGCGTGTTTGTTAATTTATATTTTCATCGTCGTGTTACTTTATTTCAAGGTATTATATATTTCAAAATATATTATAACATATTGCTCAAGAATGATAATATTATTCAAGAACTTCATTTTAATTCATTTTTTATGAAAAATTAATACATGAATTTTATAAAAAATATTTTATTTAAAAGTTTTGTTGTGATATTAGATACCATTAAATATATTAAAATATATGTATTATAATTTGTTAAAATATATTAAAAATAAAATTTGATATAATACAAATAAAAAAGAGTGATCGTTTAAATAGTTTATAGTGTCATGTTTGTTTCGATTATCATACCTAATGCAGATTGTTTAATTGATTAAAATTTTTTAACTTCCGAATCTTTTCATTATTGACAAAAATATCTCAAGGATTTGATGATTTAACATTTAATTGATTTATCATATAAATAAATGCAAATTATATATTTGGAAAAAAGAATAATGGTATCTAATATCACAACAAAACTTTTAAATAAAATATTTTTTATAAAATTCATGTATTAATTTTTCATAAAAAATGAATTAAAATGAAGTTGAATCTTGGAAATTCTGAAATAGCCAGGGAATTTTTTTCATTGAGTCTGCTGGACACCATGCACTTGAATTTTCCGAACTATTGCGTTCGATGATCTACACTCGTTGGTGACGTCACACGTGCAATTGGCTAAAATTCATTTGCATCCGATATTGGCTCCGATTGTAACTCGCGTGATGCATCCAACGAGAGCAGGAAGTAATATATCCAACGCTTCGTATAGTACCGCGAATACCACTTTTTGAGCAAATTAAACTCCGGATTATCGAATATCATTTCTCGATCGATGCGATTAACTGTAATTGGAAACTGAAGAATAGTTTCTTCTTCGATCGTTCGCGGTTCGAGATAATTTCGCGGAATGCAATAAGAAATATTGAATGTACATTTATTGTTTTAATATTGCCTCGTTATATCAAATAACTTAAATCGCTTCTAATGTTTCTATGCAACGAGTAGCGAAATAGTGATTTATTAAAATTATTTATCGCAATGAATATTTGTCAAAATATATCAATATCTATAATCTCCTTGCTTTTTTTATCAGAATAAAAAAGGAAACAAAAAATTATATAATAATTATGGAATTAAAAGATTCAAATCAGGTCATCATTATTTTTTAGAAACTCTGATAATCTCTCTACAATACATGAAAAAAAGAAAATGAAATAAATATTTTATTCATAAAGAAAACGATAAAAATTAATTAGATGAAACAAAAATATATAAATATATATAATCTCCTTGCTTTCCTCATCAGAAAGACAAAAAAGCAAGAAATGAAATTTTTTAAAATAAGTAAAAGCAAGCAATGTTAATTGACAGCAAACTATTATATAATTAATATTTAATTATAATAATTAGAAGATTAAAATTAGGTCATTATTATTTTTTAGAAACTCTGATAATCTCTTTACAATGCATGCAAACAGAAAATGAAATAAATACTTTATTCATACAGAAAACGATGAAAATGAGACGAAAGATTTAATAATTTTCCGGACAATTTAATAATAATAATAAGGAAAATGAAAGTTTATCACACATTTCCCACTTATCATTCCTGCCACTTTCTTTGCAGAGAAGAGTCGATTGCACATTGCTTTCGCAGTCCCATTATGCGCTTTCCAGCCGAGTTTTCACAAGAGAGCCTCGAGAGTCGAGGGATCACTCTAGAGAGATAGATAGAGAGAGAAGAGAAAGATGGATGCAGGTTCCGAGAGGAAGCTGCATTCTATTCAGGGCAAGCGAGGTGACGGACTAAGCAAAGTGCTGACGCGAATCGACGATGATTCACTATTTACTGGCCGGCTAGAATAAGGCGGTAGTCGATTCCCGTTCCAGAGTCCTACAAGCTCGCATTTTTCATCACCGTTTTCCATTCGAGTCCTGTCAGACCGGTTTATTCCGATAAATAGATAAAATATTATACTTCGTTTAATCGGAAATAACTCCTCCTGCTCCTCTCTGCTCTCGCGGCACAAGAGATAAGGAGAACTAATATTTCCACGTCTCTGTATCTAATAGATACCGATGAGGTACCGGCATTTTTATCGAGATGTCAATTGCGTTATTGGATCATAAACGATCGCAATATACGGCTTGAATATATATACACATATATGTATATTTGATTTTAATTCTAAATTATATAAATATATATAATATTTAAATTATATATATATATATATATATATATATAATTATAAATATTAATTAATTATTGCGTTTATACATAGAGAGAATTTTCTCTTAGAATTTACCCTGAAATTCATGGTAATTATGGGACAATATGGTATTGAAAAAATTTTATAAGAGTTTCTCTGATTAATATTTACCACACTAAAAATATTAATATCTATCTCAATAAAATATGAAATATGTTTGATTAATTTTACTAAAATGTGTAGTAAAATTTCAATAATTTTAAAATATATTAAAATATGATTCTTTAAGTGTTTTAAATAGAATAGATGTCAAAAACGTGATAAACATATAAAATATATTTTATATAAATTATAAAATGCAGCATAATATTTTCAGCCCAGCTTAATCGCTCATAATTTTAACAGTAGCAGTATGATAATTTTCGATTTATTATCAAACGTGATAAAATTTGTAGTAGAGAATTTTACGGTAAAATATAACGATAAATTCTCTCCGTGTGTAATATATGTATATAATTTGTAAATAATTAAAACGAGATCAATTTTAGTTTTAAACTGCGTTCTCCAAATTATCTAAATATTTTATACTATATACGAAAACTTTTCAATTAATAAGTACATCAATAAATAGATTGATAAAAATTAGTACTTGAGGAATCCCTCTTTCTTGGTTACTCCAAGATTTCTTATGACTTGGATCTATATCATTCATGATAGTTTATTGAATTAATGAAGAACAGAATATATTACACTGTCTACGATGAATATTCATGAACCATCGATCTTGTGATTTCAGATGCAAAACATCAACAACATCGTTATGTTTCCGCTGGACTCGGTGCTGAAAGGTGACTTAAGGGGCGTGAAAGGGGACCTGAAGAGGCCCTTCGATAAGGCCTGGAAGGACTACGAGGCCAAATATGCGAAAATCGAAAAGGAGAAGAAGCAGCACGCAAAAGAGGCCGGTCTGATTCGTACGGAAGTCACACCTGCCGAAATCGCTGACGAGATGGAGAAGGAGAGACGGTTGTTTCAGTTGCAAATGTGCGAGGCAAGTGATGCAGACAAAGATCTAATCACCGAAAAAAAATGTATTCTTAGCTCCAAGAGGATTTTAATTCTAAATTATATAAATATATACAATATTTAAATTATATATATATATATATATATATATATATATATAATATTTATATAATTATAAATATTAATTAATTATTGCGTTTATACATAGAGAGAATTTTCTCTTAGAATTTACCCTGAAATTCATGGTAATTATGCAACAATATGGTTCTGAAAGAATTTTATAAGAGTTTCTCTGATTAATATTCACCACACTAAAAAATATTAATATCTATCTCAATAAAATATATAATTAATTTAAGAAATTTCTCTAAATTTTAGTATATTTTTCTGAAAATAAGAATAAATTAAGAATATCATCTTAAATTAAGAGGATCCTCTTGGCGCTATTTTTCGGTGATAACAATAAAAATGAAATCTAGACTCTCGACGAAGAAGCGTCTATATATGTACGCATATAGTACATATATGTACATGTATATTCGATGCGCGTGCATCGAAATCCGGTTGTTTGGATACCGTCTTGTGTATCGGGGCTGAAAAATGTATATCTTCTAACTTGAGAACTTAATTTACATTTTACATTCTCGACAGCGCTGTCTATGCAGTTATACATTTTTTATTCGACAGTCTAGGCAAGATGTCAAACAACTGTCGTCTACATTTTACGTCTGGAAATCATAGAAAAATAATACATCATAAAATATACATATATAAAAAATGTATATTCTCTCTTAAAAATATTGAGATATTAATAAAATTACTCCGAGTTATATACAATTAAAATAGTAAGGGTTTAGATTTCATATCTACGTTGTATTATTTTTTAATAATTTCCTCTCGTTTGCATATATATAAAAGTAAATTTAGTAAAATTTATTCTATTTTTTTCTTTTAAAAGTCGAGATAATAATTAATAGAATTACTCCAAATTTATATACGATTAAAAGTAATAAGTTTTTAGAGAGAACTAAATACTTAATTATATATAAATAGTTATTTACACAGAAGGTATTGAAATTTGAAGTCTCTGGTTAACAGAATATTCAGTGTTGAAATTTATTCGTCGTAAAACTGGGTGGAGCTCAATCAAGCAGTCTTTACGAAGACCCTTAGATTAAAGGAGTGGTGATAACTTGCAGATTGCTTTTACGATACGCTCGATAAAAGCGTATTTGAGGAAGGCACGAACTGTGTCAATCATTGCTCTCTGTTTGTTTGCAGTATCTGATCAAAGTGAATGAGATCAAAACGAAGAAGGGCATCGAGCTGTTGCAGCATCTAGTCGAATATTATCACGCGCAAACAAAGTGAGTGTAACCGCGATTAATCCTTCGATTATTGAATTATTATTTCAGGATTTCATTATAATATTCAATTAACTTTAAATTATTATCACAAATAACATTTATCTCTTAGAAATGTTTATTTTTGGAATTTAAAGCACTCGATCGAAATTCAATTTTCTGAGATTTACCTTTGGGATTTTAGTTATTTTCAGGATGGTTTGAAGACCATCGAACACTTCGGCTCGTACGTAGCCGATCTCAGCGTGAAGCTGCAAAAAATCAGGCAAACGCAGGACGAAGAAAGGAGACGGTTAACGGAACTCAGGAGTCTTCTTAGGAGTTCCGGATGTGACAAGGAGGTAACATCGACGAGAGCCAAGTTTCATTCTGACATTAATTCATCACGGAAAGCGCGCGATTGTAGGAGTAGATTTAATGGTCTTTAATTGGTACCGTTATTTCTTCACTTTCGTTTCACGGTACTCATTCCTCTTCAGTCGTCTTATTCATTGTGTGTATTTTGACTTATTTAATATAAAATTAAACACTAAGACTTTGCTGATATTTTTCATTAAGACATTTTTGTATCATCTCTTGTATTTCAAAATTTTGTAAATCATTTATTTCGCTTCATCCACATATATATCGCTTCTTCCTCAGACGTCTTATTCATTGTGTTTACTTCAGCCTATTTAATATAAATATAAACACTAAAACTTTGCTGATATTTTTAATTAAGAGATTTTTGTATCTCAAAACTTTGTAAATTATTTCTTTATTTATTTATGTCATACATTGCTCATTTGCTGCAACAGTAACATGACTAAAAAACTCACTCTTTTTGAGTTATTAGTACACTTCCTACATGTACTATTATTAAATCTTGTCTCCTGAGAAATCGCGACTTTCGGGTTACGTCACTGTTGCAGCAAACGACCGATACGTCATCATATGTCATATGTCGTCCGCAGAACTTAGGCAACGTTTACGACTTAGGTAACGTTTCCGTTTCACAGTTGAACGCGAACGCGAACGCCGGTTACTCGCTGCATCAGCTGCAGGGTGACAAGCAGCACGGCGTCACGCGTTCCGGCCACCTGCTGAAGAAGAGCGAGGGCAAGATGAGGCGAGTCTGGCAGAAGCGACGATGCGCCGTGCAGGCGGAGGGCTACCTCGATATCTGCCACGCGGACGAGAACAAGCCACCCACCAGGGTGAACCTATTGACCTGCCAAATCAAATTGGTGCCGGACGACAAACGAGGCTTCGATCTCATCAGCTGTAAGTCTCTGCATAGTCTCTCCCGCGCCTCACAGTGCGATATAATGCTGTCATTGTCGTCGTTGTCTCGATTTCAGACAATAGAACGTACCACTTTCAAGCGGAGGATGAGGCAGACCAGCGTGCGTGGATGTCGGTCCTGGTGAATTGCAAGGAACGAGCCCTGTTGAGGGCGTTCGACGCGAGTGGCAAGGCGGAGGCCGGCAGCGGCAATCCCAGCCTCGTCGAGCTGCAGCAGGCCGTCATACGATGCGTTATGCGATTACCCGGAAACGATCAATGCTGCGATTGCTCCTCGCAGAACGGTAACTTCGAATGTCGTGGATTGTTTGCGGCCGGCTGGCCTTTCTCTAACGCGTGCCAAGTCCGTTCCGTTATTCTTGGCGCGTGCCTCAGGCGTTTTTCTTCCTCAAACTGACGCGTCATGAAGCTGCAAATTCATTTCTAATCGATAATTATTCATGGAAATCTTTTATTGTAATTATATTAGAACAATTATTGCCTTCAAACGTAATACGCATGATATTTCTATCAGATTATATTATGGAATTATAAAGCTTTTCTATCGCCGGAAGAACTTCTCCGTCATTTCATGGCATGAATGTTCTCTTCGGTTCGCTCACCATGGGAGGAGGGGCATTGTCGCGAATGTTTCCGCACGACAAAGCGGCAACTTCGCCAACGCTCCAGTTCTCTCTCTCTCTCTCCCTCTCGCGAATGCGTTTTGTGTTGTCGAACGACAATTGTCTCCTTTTCAGACGCCACGTGGCTGTCGACGAACTTCGGCATAATAGTGTGCATAGAGTGCAGCGGCATCCACCGAGACTTGGGCGTGCACATATCGCGAATACAATCCTTGACGCTGGATAACGTCGGCACCGCTCAACTGTTGCTCGCCCGACATATGACCAATCAGGCGTTCAACGAGGTGATGGAGGCGACGTTACGTCACAATCTCAAGCCGTCGCCGACGTCGACGATGTGAGCAAACTTATAATGCTCTCACAACGCGTATTCCTTCTCGGTCGCATTTATCATGTTTACTTTCTTGCTTCTTCAGGGAGGAGCGGTACGAGTTTATACGCGCCAAATACGTGGACAAGAGATATGTGATGAACACATGCGCGGACGAGCGCGATCTACTTTCCGATTTGGAGCATGCTGTTAATAACCGTGATCTGCAACAACTTCTGCAAGTCTACGCGGAAAACGTGGATCTGGCTGCGCCGTTGCCAACATCGGTGAGGACATTAACGAGACTTTTCGTAGAGCTATATCCGAGAGGATGATTAAGAGAAATGCTTTCATGGTTATAAAAACAAACAATAGCGATAAAATTAGTTCTAGTGCCGATAATTTTTCTTTAGATTTAGAAAATAATTTATATGGTGTTAAAAAATATAAATTAATTAATCAAAAAATAATTAAAAATTATAAATAATATTAATATATTATAAATATATTAAATATAAATATTAATTATAAATATATTATAAATAAATCGAATTATAAATTATCTTATTTTACGTAATGTGCTATAAAAATATGTATCTACTTCGATTAGGACATAGGCGAAACGGCGTTACACTTGGCCATTCTACGCGAGATGGGCAGCAGTCTCCACATCGTCGACTTCCTGGTGCAAAACATGCCTAGCGGCGGCATCGATAGGGCGACTATCGACGGGGAAACGGCGTTGCATCTTTCCGCGCGACACGACAGAGCGGAAGCGATGAAGCTGCTTCTGCGAGCTGGCGCGGATCCCTCGCATCGGAACAAACAGGACAAGACTCCGTTGGACATTGCACAAGAAATGGGACACCACACTTGCAAAGAATTGGTAATTTAGCGAAATAAATATTTTTCAATATACTTAACATTAATCTTGATCTAGATATAGTTCCTTCCAATTTTCTATAATCTTTGATTAATTAAAAGACGCTTAAAACTAATGGTGTTTAATCGAAAAATAAGAAATCGACGAATTACTTTCAGCTCAGTCACGCTCTCCAGAGGCAAAAGACACTGTTTGACAATGTAAACATTGACTGGAATCTCTCTCACGATGAAGGTTCTACGGACTTTTCCGATGACGAAACGATAATAGAAGACAGAGTGAGTAACATTAACTTGAAACGGAATAAATCGACATCGCATTCTATAATTTGTATTTATCTATATATATATATATATATATATATATATATATATATATATTCATAGTCGCAAATGTTCCTCTTGCAGAACGGATGCCTGACACCTGAAAAGAAGTCACGTAGCAGACCACCGTCATACGCCGGAGGCGGTGGAACTGGTGATTCCCCGGTGACATTACGCAGTCGGAGCAGCACCTGCGATAGTTTACAAAGCGGATCCTCTCCGAGCGCCTCGACGAATCGCCAACAAATGCCTCCACCGCCACCTCCACAGGCGAGAAAGCCTGTAGCTGGTAAGCTAGACATATTCTTAATATTTTATACGATGTATGATAAAGCCATATTATTGAATAATCACTGAATTCAACAGAGATAATATACAATCGACTGCTCAATAGGAATCGAACGTAATTCCTGCTTCTCTTTAAATTCAGCAAAGGACCCCGTAGCAAATACATACGATTTTGGCTTTCGGTGCAATTGGTTGTTTCTTTCATATGTTGTAGTTCATTAATATTTTATATATTAATGAAGCAAGTGGAATAGTGTTTTCTTTACTGAATGTACGTGTAGTTAACTTTATACAATATTGATTATGCCACTATTTTCGGGCAGTTCCCACTCCCATGGCGCCGGACATCTCGCTGAACATCCACGGCTCGCTGAAGAAACGGATAGCGCCGCCGCCGCCGCCGTCCACCGGAAATGCCGCTACGTCGTCGCACTACGGTACGCTACCCTTGTCCACGTCGACGCACAGTCGTACGACCAGCGAGCCAATTTTAGCCGGCCACACTTTACACACTCTACCGCATACGTTGAACACACTAAATAGCCAACATCATAAGAGATCACCGAGCGGCGACTCGTCGACCGGACACGGTACATTAAGATAGATCAATCTCGCAGGCGAAGCTTGCTGACGTTACGATTATCATATCGACACGCTTCTCTCTTCCTGCGAATAGGTATGGACAAGGTGAACAGCTCGACGTTGCAGAGACCACGAAATCCACCGCCTCCAGCGCCGTCCGGTGTCACGTCCAGACTCAGCAACGGACGGAGCAGCGAATCCCTGAGTTCCATGTGCTCAGATCATGGTCTAGGCAACCCGATTCCGCCACCGCGAAAGGTAAATTATATTTGAATTAATTTTCTCGAATAGGAGTTTCGCAATTTTAAAGGAGGGAAAGATATTTTTATACACAGAATAGGTTTTTGCTTGATAAATATAAGATTGCGTTTTCTTCTGAATTCGTGAAATTTATTTAGGATTTTAAGATTTATATACATCGTTCTAGAGGAGACTCGAGATATGCGAGTGCTTTGTATATTGATCTCTGCACAAAACTACAGGCATAAATGCAAGATATTTATAGACAGATCCTAGAGAAAAAGATATAATCTTAAATAATTATATAATGCATATAAGATCTCTGGTCAGCGAATGCACATCAAATTTGACAAGTCCAAATTTCTCGAAAGCATAGATTTTGATGCATATAAAATTCATTAAAATATTTCTATAGAAAGATTTATACAATATGTAAAGCCCTCGCTCTCTCTCTGCGATTTCCCCACTCCTTTTTATCTTCGAATTAGGCTGCCAGACAAAAAAATTATATGTTAAAATTGATATTACATCTATATATATATATATATTTCCTGACAAGTGTTTAATATGAACATTATACAACTATCGCACTATCTCACACCTTACCTGTTTGCACACATACCGGATGGTTGCCGTTTAATCGAAGTTTATACTAATGCAGTAGGGGAAGGTATAACTAACCAGGTTGTTTCCTCCGTAGTGTAGTTTTCACTCGTGCAGGCTTGAGTATTTCGCATACTGTAGAACTAACCATACGTCACACACGCATTGATCCTTATCCGTTATTCATATTTACAATGTCACATATAAATAATTGACCTTTTATATTAATTGTAAACGTGTGATAATTGAAAAACTTATCTAACGCGCGTAATAACTTAGAGAAGAATTATCATTTTATTATTCCAGTCATTTCACTCATTTTCATTCCATATCAAATCATATATAAATAATCATTGCATATTCTTTGCAAAAAGTAACGTCCCAAAAATAAAGCACTAATAAATAATTAATAATTAAATTAATTTTTACACGTCAAAATCAAGTTTTAAAATATTTCGCCGAATAGTTTTCGAGACAAAATTGCAGTGTTTTTATTGCGAATTAAACAATTCGTTCAGATCTGATGTAAAATATCTGTCTATCCGTTTACGGTGTGTGAATATCAGTGAATGCATGAATTTTAAGATCAGTGTGCTTTATGGTTTGTCATTAACCATTGTTGGTACAGCGAAGGGACCGGTCCAGGCTAGAGAGCTACGCCGAGGAGCCTTCATCTTTGCTCCTAAATCTGAATCTGGTAAACATCAGCCATCCCACATTACCCAGCATGTTACACTTGAAATTACCTGTTTTTGGAGACGTAATCTTGAAAGAAAAAAATATGCAATCGTATCTCGTCGCAATAATTGACGATAAAATTTATAAATGCTGTATCATTTTGATAGATTGCTCTATATCTGCGGATGATATTTTCAAGTGTAGCACTGTTTTGCATGATCAGTTCGTATCATCATTTGTATAACGTCAAGGCTTCGGGTGTGTTATTTCCGCGTGATAATTGTATTTCGACCTTGTCGCCAGCTGGAGATATTCCTTATCGGTTAAGATACTACTCGATCATAACAGTGATATGAATCTTTCTCTTTCACAAGAACTATAAATAACTCTGTATATTGCCTTCTGACTGTTGACAACATAAAATGCGTTGCATTGTGTGCGAATTAACATCTACATTTTTTTCTCGACTGATTATATCAGTCCTGTCTGATTCGATTTAATCTACATGTGACTTTCTTAATAAAAAAATTATATTCTCTTTTCACGACTCTTGATTTACAATTTATATATTTAGGAAGTCGTTTAAATGTGAAATATAACTGTAAATGTACTGATTCTCGCATGGATTTCCCCGAATGGTTTGGCAAATAATTGAATGCATCCGTTATATTACTTCTTCGTGATATGTCCCCTTTAAAACTCTTACTCTAATAAGCTACTCGAATATTAAAAATCGTATAACTAGCATGAGCTCGATGTTTCATATTGGAAATTCTAGAACTTTTTTTTATATTCCACGTATACTATATTAAAAATATCATAGAAATCTACATCAAAATTATACTTTGTACATCTATATTAAAATACGTATATTTATACTATTATTTATTACAGTACAGTTTATTTAATTTTGCGCTATTAATTTACTTGTTTTAATTCTAAAAAAAAATAAATTAGAAAATTAATTTTATTCATAAAAAATAATTTTACAGCGTCCTTGCAATTCTTAGAATTTCCAATATTCTCTGAAGAACAAGTATTCTTGCGCGCTTGTCGTCCTACGACAAAAGAGACAAGCGACAAAAGTATGCTTGCTTCTGCGAGATAACTGAGAAACGCGCACGTTAATTAGGACACTCGATCTATTTCTCATTCTACGATTTTTGTCCCCTATATAGCCGACGTCATCGACCTTGACGGGTCTTCGACGCTGTCGAGCCCTGTACGACTGCGTGGCCGACAACGAGGACGAGCTGTCATTTCGCGAGGGCGAGGTCATCATCGTGACGAACGAACAGACCGACGATGACAATTGGATGGAAGGCGCTCTGGAACGTGCGCCTGAACGACGAGGCATGTTTCCGATTAGCTTCGTGCACATGTTGCAGGATTAACATTCGGTAAGCCTTAACTCGTTAACGAGCGTCACGAGCACTGCCAGTTCGATGAGTGTCGCCAGTCTCGGCCGGAGGAGCTGGTTGAGGAAGCCGAGGGAGTGAACCGACATCCTTCTTCAAGCTGTTTCTTCGAACCTCGACGACTGTCTCGCGCGCGTTCAAAAGAAGAAGCGCTGTTACTGAATAGAAGAGTTTAGTCTGCATCTGAACTCTCTCGTTTCCGCTGTGTCTCGTAGGAAAACTGGTATCATCTTCAAAAGGAAGTCGGGAGTGCATCAGTCGCGAGTAAAAGGGTGGAATTTTACACCTAGATGATAAATACTTAAGAAAATTGAACAAAATAGTGATATAGATGTATTTCCGTGTATTTGTTTTTTAAACACAAGCAAGCTTATGATCCTATAGTTAATTCTTGTTTTTTTATCTATTATATAAAGGAAAAATGATATTCGATAACAAAAAATAATACAATTTTATGTTATTTTAAAATACATTTATAATTAGGAAGGAATATTAATATACAGTGAAATTCTATTTTTTACTAATTAATTTATATTACTGTTATATATATATACATTTGCATAATTATTTGCAAATTCGAATTTCATTATCCAGAAGATTATCTTGTTGACGATTTCTTGAACACAAAGAGTTCTAAGACTTTTCTCTATGGCACAAAATTATTTCTGCTCATGCAATGAAATTCTTTTAAGTCGATTAGGTATTTTGTAATAAACTTCAATTTCCATTTCCGTAATGTATGATCAACATATATCATGTGTGATCCTATCTTGTTCAAATTTAATTCTATTCTTTACTTCGTCGATTCAAGTAAAGTTAACAGACACCTCTAAGATTTTATATTGAGCCATAATCAATACGTACATCGTGAATTGCACTATCTACGATTAAAACAAAGATGTTTAGCCAGGTATTAGTGTCTTACGCTGGATGACAATCATATCGACCTTTGAAAGCACCTTTGAATAATACAGTCGATAATGGATACTCGGGAATATCGTCTTGTCATCCAGACAAATATGATTACGCAGCGGGGTTTTATCTTTCCTCAAAGTGTAATTTTCTTCTCTCGTTCTCTATGAAACATAAGATTTAAAAAAAAAAAAGCTAATTGTACAAACGCCGCAATGTCGACACTCGCAAGTTTCCGGTGTTTGTCGAAGAATGTTGTATCTGAAGAGTTTATACGTAGAGATCATATGTATTCGTCTATTCATATTATATATATATAAATATATATATATATATATATATATATATATATATATATACACTTTTACGGTATCCAAAATATAATCTATAGTTAGAAATCCGGCTGACAAAGTATAACGTTGGAAGTGATATAAGAATATGTGGCCGATGTTGATAATCAAGGAATTAAAAATGATACTTGATTGAAAAATCGCGTGACGCTAATATGTGATATATAATATTTCAGAGTAAATTATTTAACACGCTATATGCAGTTTATTGAAACGAACAAATCATGCGTCATTTTCCATAAACGAGATGATATAGATTCATTCAACGTATGTACAAGGCGCTTCTAAAAAAAAGAGAGAAAACACAAACAAGCATCTATCGATAGAGGAAAACGTTAATAATAAATATATAACAATAATTATATATGTAGAACGCTAAAGAAATATATAAAGACTCGAATATGCAGATTAGAGAATTGAGCTTACACCAATGTCTGAAAAATCTTGTACAATACACTCTCGCGATACTGATTGCGCTAAAGAGGAAAAAAGAGATATATATGCACAGTTCACACGGTTTTGTGGTGTCACAACGTTCGTGCGTTCTATTGATCTGGCGAACTTCTTTTTTTTTCTATACTGCCAATAATGGATCGATTTAACGTAAGGATAGACGAAACTCTCGTGGTGTAGAAAAAAAAATCTTATTTATACTCTGTACATTTAGCGCTAATTTCTGATTCTCCAAGTCTGAGATACCAATCAAATGCGCGATGATTTTCGTACGTGACAAATAAAATCTCAGAATCAAACGAGCAGATCTGACGTTAAATGTAAGATATAAATACGGAATCGTAGTCCTTATAATTATAGCGAAGTGATTAAAATTAGTGTAAAAACAAGAGAAAGAAAGGAACGAATTTTACGGTCGTCAAGCACGAGATGTTACACACTGATGTTGCATGAGACCTAGTATTATTAGCGTATTCGATTTAAATACGTCGAACGAGTGTATATTTTTTTTCTGTAATGCCATACTACGTATTAGTCGGTCCTCAAATAGAATAAGGTACTCTCGAAACCGGTTATTTAGCCGCCAAGCGTGCTACGAAAAATGACGGAAACATGACAGGTAGAAATCTTCATGTCGCATTATGTTATTATTATTAATAATTCTTATTTGAATGTACGAGACCAAAGAGGATATTGCAAAAAAAAAAGGAAAGAGTCGCGTCGAGAATGAAAGGTTTGCGGAGCCGTTTTATAACGTTCTGATTAAAGGTTCTCGATCTTTTTTTCCGAATTGAGCGGAGAAGACTGCTGCAAATGCGATACTTACTACTAAATAACATGATTATTTACTAATGCTGTCGATCGATAAAATGATTCCGCAAATAGTCAGGATTTAGTAACATTAGTCCGATATCGACGTGTGTTCCTCGTGTATTTATTTATACGAATCGCGAATATCGATGCTCGTGGGCACAGAACGAATGATTACTGTGTGTGAAGTTGTAATTTTTTCCTTTACGATTATTGTATAAGGGCTTTGTACATACATAGACAAACGAAAGTAGAATATATATATATTGCTGTAACGCTATTAACTGTGACATTATTTCTTAAGTGTAATTGATTAATTTAAGTGTACTAAGAGTATGAAACACATCCCTGATTCTTTTATTTAAAATGTAGCTACAAGGAATTCTGAGCAGCAAAGATATACATTTCCGATTTTATTCCGGTGGAGATAAAAGAAAAGAGTATCTAAAACTCACGTTACTCATAAATGTCAGGTTTCATATATATGGTACATTCTTCTGAAGAACTAACTATTCACATTTTTTATTTCTTCCGATTGTGCTTTATCACTGTCGTGATAAAAAAAATTATGAATTACTTTAAAAAAATATTGTCGAGCTTCATTAATAACAGGAGAGAAAATGGAAAAGGCTGCAAGTGCCATTAAATCAAAAGCAGTGCTTTTCACGAAAATTTACTTTTACAGAAAGAAATGTTTCGCTTTAAAAACAAAAGAATATATATATTATTGATTAATAAAATTATAAACATAATATAAACGATACAGACAATACAGAATTTTCGATTCAAACCATCAAGTTGAGAATCGGCTATAATAAACATTTTTTATGAGAGTTTTCTTCACGTTTTTCACCTTCTATTAATTATCTCTTTTTGGCAGCATCTATATAAAAACACGTAACATATATATATATATTAAACACCAATACACAATGTTGAATACACAAAACTCGTTACCACATTTAGACAAAGTAAGAGTTGTTCTTCTGGCGTCAGTTGAATAGAAATTTTTGTAGACCTCTTAAACACAACTAGAGAGAGATTTAGAGGAACAGAAAGTATAAAATAAAAAAAATTGCGGCTGGATGCAATTTTGTCTTTAAGTCAAAGCGATAAGATAGATAAGTTCGCCTAAACGGACGATACGTAGTGTTATATCAAAGTTGTATCTCGCAACTTCGATATGTAGTATCTGTAATAAAAGAAGAAAAATGTTATCTATTTAATATTAGATTAACCAGTCTTTCTCGCCACATACAATCTACGTTGTCTTGGAAATTCATCGACTTCTTCGCAAGCGCATCAACACAATATCGATTTATCTTCAAGGTAGATAGAGCAAAACGCGTGTCGTCGATCTCTATGTAAATACATGTATAGATAAAAAAGTAGGAATTTTTGCGCGTGCATGTGTGTATGTATGTATGCTTGAGGAGAGGAAGCGTGAGATAAATTGATGTTTATATTATATTGAATACATATATATACACACGCATTATATATATATATATATATATATATATATATATATATATATATATATATATATATATATAGAATTACGATCTAGATTTAAGAAGTATGTGGATATTGTCTATTTAAATAATTGTATGATGCGATCGAGATCCTTTGCATTTGAAACTTAAGAATAGTCGTTAGGTAGCTCATAAGTATTTATTATTATTTTGTAGCCACTTTCTCTCGTACATTAGACGAGACGCGTGAATGTATAGCGAAAACGAAAGAGGTTCTTGGAATATTTGGTACGAACAACAAAGAAGCACGTGACTCGAGCCAACCAATGATTGTATCGTCATAATTGAACTCTAATTATAACTAGAGTTCTTAAAGATGGAAAGAGTTGGGAAATCTCTCAATTAACGTCAGCGTTAATTACTTTTAAATCAATGAAATGAAAATTCAAAGAAACAAAGGATTAGCAAGACTTTGAAACGTTTCTGTCACTTCCGAGTTTCTGTGTTCATTTTTGCACAGCTAGTGCCGATGCAATTCATTCTAGAGAGAGGAGAAAATTGATTGTATCAAGAGGATGGATCTTTTTTTTTGTAGTCGTATCCGATATTTTAACAACCTCGTATCAATATTTGCGTGTAAGAAGATGCATATTAATATATTAAATCCCTGCGTATACGTAGCCATTCCGTTGGAGATGGTGAGCAAAAGAAAGAGGAAAGAATGATGCAAGTCGATCGAACAAAAATCACACGATTCTAGATATTCGGCGAACGCGTGTTGGGTCGCCGGGGTACAGGTCTAAATATTTATATATTACACACGGAACGATAATATTGTATCGACGTTTACTATTATCTTTCACCGTTAAAACTGTGCACGACGTCTTCGAATGGGGCGCGACTTCAAAAAGAATGTAACAGAAGGAGAAAATAAATGCTGTTTAGAGAACTACAAAATCAATCAACGGCTCTTTCATTCCTACAAAAAGTTACCTCATGATAAGAAATAAATAATCTGAATAAGAGATATTTAGAACACGACGACAAGTGATAATTACATCTTCAACTGAACGTAATTACGCAAGAAATAATCGAATATTTGTCTTATGTTAAATAGATATTAAATAGAACTCGATCGAGTGTACCTACGTATTCAATACCAGCCCATCTTCGCATCCTGATGTAGAAGAGAATATTGGTGAAAAAAAAAAATGCTGCGAAATAAAAATTGATTATTCTTAAAATATTAACATATTAAAATTAAAAAACTATTGACATAATGTCTCTATAATGATGGTAGAATAAACGCTAATGTTTTGGATCAGTTTTCACCTGTGCATATACATGCAATTAGTACACACAAGTATACATCAGTATTAATTGCAGTAGACAATGCACATGCGTATGAAAAATCTTTTATTGAAAAATGTTTTTTCACGCTACAACGTCAGTGTACCCTCATCTATTTAACCTTTTTTTTTTTATAACAGTACAAAAATTGCATTTTTTACAAGTTGCCCAGCTTACTTATATGACTAAGGGTAGTATCCCAGAGGGTTAGCAATCATCTCAGACGAAAAATTCGGAGGATCTTATTACAGCTTATCTAGTATTATCCGGAGAAGCTGCGGCAAAACGTGTGAACACTAGTATTTCACGGCGAAGAGGAGAACGCGAAGTTCTCCTCTCGCGCGTTATACAAGAAAAGAAAAAGCGTCTGGCGCGTTGCGCTTTTTCTTAAAGCAAATCAGTCGCTACAACACGCTCCGGTTTTATTATGTTTTTTACCGCACCGGATCCTCTAATTTACCATTTTGCTATCTGGGTCGTCGTGTACAGACGTTTTCAGCCGGAAACTCGCATCGTCAACGTTAACTCTCGATCAAGAAAATCACTCTTGGAAAAACTACTACTACTACAATTGATTGCGCAGATTCTCAGATATATATATAATGCAAGTATCCGGCCAAAGGACATCCCGCGAACTTTCGTCCCATATCGTCTATTTTTAATATCGTCTATTTTTGTCTATCCTGAACCGAGGTCAACGAGCGGATAACAGAACGCAGATATACGTGGAACATTTTACCACCATCCAGACTTTAAGGATGACCAGAGAAACTCGATGTGAATGTAACGAGTCAAACAAAGAATAAAATGTGCACACACGTGCCTACGTAATTGCGAACTGGAAAATTGCAAGAAAAATGCGTTTTCCATTATTTGCTCATTAACAGAATCATACGTACACAGATCGTGTTATGTGCAACGTGAAATAATTTTATAAATAAGCACCGATTATACAAGTAGAGAACATTTTTTTTCACTTTTTTTTAACAATATCTACTTCAGTAACTTATTTTTACTCTTGCACAAAATAGAATTTGCATTTTGCACTGGATATCAACACTCGTTTTATCAAAAAAAACGCTTTCTTTGTCTTATTTGCTCGGAATATTCATGTTCAGAGCTTCTTGTGATTTTCCAATTTGCTATTAAAATCACGTTTTCTAATGAAAATTTGCTTATCTGTTCGTTATCGTTCGTTCACGCGCATCGCGCCTTCGAAAGCTACGAAACAGTCGCCGCCGATAGTTAATTTTGAGCAAGACAGGTGTCCAGCGATCTTGACAACTTGATCTCGTGTGTAAATACTAAGTACACATTATTACGTTATGCCACGTAAGCTTACGACAAACAACAATGATAGATTAATGATCGATTAGCAAAAAATTAACGTAGCGGCGGCTCCGACCCTCAGCAGGATCGTCTTTCTTTTTTTTTTTGCCTTTTCATTTTTTCCTTTATCTATCCTATTATCTTATATGCATAAGTTTCGCGGATAAAATCTCTTTGCATCCTTTTTTATTCAGGTCCTGCCTTTATCAGTTGGAGATTAGATGCTGCGCTTTGACTATAGATGAAATTTTTTTATAAGTAATAATTCTACGCTGAATGAAATTCCTGATTCGCTTAAGAGCAGTCTTTTTGAGCTTTTTCGCATACATTTTACGCTCGAATCGCTTTATTTATTGCGTGTAAAACCATGTAAATGTATATATGTGTATGAAAATGATCGCTTTATTTATTGCGTGTAAATATCTATATGTGTGTGTTTATGATGTCTCTATATGAATCCTGGCAATATGCGTGTACGTAGATTTAATGTACAATTAATTAACTATATAACTGGTAGAAATTAAAAACTTATTTGACTAGCTTTTGATCATTTCTCTCTTGGAATTAGTAGAGTTTCGCGATATATATCATATAGATATATGTATATATGTATTGTATATAAATATAACTGATCGGATAGTTTTGGTGGTGCTGCTATTGCCGCTGATAGATTTAAAAAATATAATTACGTGTGTAAAACGAAATAATGATTAAGTATAGGTATTCGTCCTGTGTGTACGGTTATTACTATAAATTACATAAATTCTTAGCAGGATACTCATGGATTCGAGAAATCATCGCGCGGTGTCTTACATGTATTATCCTAGCAGAATATAATTATTATAATAATCGCTATATAATATATACTAATTAACTAATTTTCTCAAACTTCGATATTCGTTCTCTCTTTTTTCTTATTTCTTTCGCTCGCTTGCGATTAATTGTTAATGATTTGACAAGTTTTCCATCCGCAGTCTTCCAATTATTCTATTCACGCGCACACGAGATCCGCACGAACAGAAGGATAATGAAAGCATCCAAGGACTCTAAACCGAAACGGATCGTGGCGCGTGAATTATTCAGTCTTTCATTATTTTTTTCTTACTTCACATAATGATCGCTCACTAACATTACACAATTTAATAAATTTAAATTTTTTTCTGCACGAAAAAATATTATGCTATATTACTCGCGACGCTACGTCAACATGCTAAATAGATTAAATACGATGTATGCTTATAATTTAAAGCCACAGATTTCGATGTCGCGCCACGGTGTATAGCGTATCAGTCTACCCCTTCCCCCTCAAATTTCACTGCTACTTTATTATAATATCAAATTTCTACGTCTCTTATGTATCATTCGCTCGTTCCCTTCCACGTAAGGCCCTTAATATTCCGTTATTGTATATTTATTCGCATTTTTATAATAGCCTATTACTTTATAAAAACAAGAAAAAAGAAGGAAACGGGATGAAATCCGTAACGAAAAGAGAATCACGAGATCTGTGCGCAAACTACAAAGCATACACGTCGCCATACGTGCTTTCCGATATAGTTGAGATTAAGTTTTTAAAAGTATGCGCGGATTAAATTATGCGACAGAGTGTCGAGTTCTTTAAGTATGCTCATTTTCTAGACGGAGTATAGTATAAGAGCGATAGATAAAATAGTACAAGATTGATAATAGCGATGAGATAGTATAGATGTAATAGGAATAGAGCAGTAATAGTATCATGCGCTAATAATAAAAATAATAATAATAATAATAATAATAGGAGCAATAGTAGTGCTAATTATAGTGATAGTGATGTTAATAATAATAATAAAAATATATAATATTACCATAATATAATAGTAATAGTAATATAGTATTAAAATTAAAATCAGTCTAATTATTAAAATAAATCGTATCACGCTCTACAAAATTCTCTGGCGCTTAAAATCAGATTCCATTTTTCAAAATGGATAACATGAAAAATAATATTGTAAAACATTGCATGCTGATGTAATGTCATTTTTCCACTCTCCTCTGTGTCTCTTTCTATGTTTTAAATCATATAAAATGCGAAAAGAAAAGAAAATGTAAAAATGACATTACATTAGCACGTGATGTTTTGCAATATTATTTTATGTATTATCATACGTGTATATATATACAATATATATTTCTTCTTATATATTTATATATATGGATGAAGCAAATAGTCGAGGAAAGACTCTATCTTTCTAATAGCATTTGGCTTGCCAAATTCTGTCAATTAAATAGTACAATTGCATCAAATATGATAAAAAATACGGTTTACATGAGTATGTATGTGTAATGTGTAATGGCAGCGCGATGTATGCACGCTGCAACGTTTTCTTGTAATGTGTATGTGTAAAAGTGTCATTCGATTCTCGAAGAATGACTTATCTTTACTTCTCTCTCACAAAAATGTCGCACATGTCGGACATTTTTTTTTCATTTGGTAGGGCTATATTAAAAGCGTAAGTGTGTATACACGCAGGTGTTTGCACACAAAAAAAAATGTAATCCCCCATTAAAGTATCATTTTAAAACAATGACTCACGAATATCGTCTCGCCCGCTCATGTGTTTTGGCAAACAGAATTTCTTTCGAAATAAATTTTCGGAGTCAAAAACCCGAAAAAGTGACTTGACTTACGCTAAATATGACTTACATTAAATCCTTAAAGAAGAACGCGCATATAGAAGTTTAGGCCTCGCTGGATCCGTCGAGTGCTTGCTCGGTCATCCTTAAGCACAGAGATTCCAGACGAAAATCGATTTCCGGCTCTGTCGTTTCATTCGTTCCGTTGGTGGACTGTCCCATGAAACGGTCCCGCGGCGCGCTGTATGCACGCTGCAACGTTTTTTGTAATTGCTGCAAAATTAAATAGTCAATATATTGATAAAATGTTAATATATTATAATATGTTAATAATATAATATATTAAATATGTTAATATATATTTATATAAAAATGCAACTGCTTCTTCTATGAGCAAAGGTGGTTTTTTAAATTTGACCTTCTCATAGAGAAAGGAAATAAGATATAACTTGATTGAAATAAGATTTTGAGAAAAATTCTAGACTCTATTTCACCTGCAAACTGCTGGTAGGCTCTTGTAGGCTCGGTCTTTTCTCGATCGTATGTACCGTACGCAAGTTGTTCGTATTCAAGATGTTCATATTCTGATTCTGATTATTTTGCAAGTACGGCGAAGATATACTATTTCTATGCTGAGTCATTATAAAATGGTTGTTGTGCGAATGGCTGGAGTGAATGTGATTCAAATTTAAACTCGGTTTCCTGTTGTGCTGTTGTGAATTGCCATACCGCCTGTTATTGTAACCGTAATTGTGTTGCCACCTAAAATTTCGAAAGTTATCCCAACACGTTTATACAATATATGTTGAACCACTTATTGAAAATGTATATCTCGTCTTACTTTGGAGTTGGTCGCGGATTGCCGAGTCTACTGCGCCATTGTTGCACTTTCTCTTTTTGATATGTAGTAAAACAGTCGTGTTGCGATACTTTTTCCAAGATGTTTATGCACGCGCACAAAATACTGTCTTCTACGCTCTCCAGAGGCAATCTACTACACACTAAAATAAAGAAACCGAGAATAAAATTTCTTTTTTAATCACCTCTCTAATGAAATTTTAGTAATAAAAAAATTATAATGCAATAATTTTGTGTACATACATTTTCCAAGCACTTTCATAAACTGTGTAGGGATATCTTGCGGATCGTTCTCTTGACTCGGCTTCATAGGGGTGGTCAAGATTCCTTTGAGCTCGTCAATCACATTCATGAGTACAGATGGACCTTGTGAGAACGAAGTAGTTTGCATGCCATCGCGAGTATTAGGTGACATCAGACTCGTTTCCAGATTCAAGAGAGTGCTGTACCGTTGCTGTAATTTACCGATAGAGACAGCCATCTTGTGCCTAGCCCCCTTTGTAACTCCTTGCTCTGCCAATTGATCCTCCGTCAATTGCAACATCTCCTCGTAACTCATGTTAATAAACAAGTAACTGTACTTATGGAGGCGTAATGATTTAAGCCATGATTGTATATCTGAAAGTGAAAAAAATAATTAAAAATAAATGTTTTTGTCTATATATAAGTGATTCTCGTCAGAGATGATTGCAAAAATGTAATTAAAAAAATAATATGTTTTATATTATTACTGAAATGTGTTATATATATGTGTATATATTGTATATTGCTATATATAAAATCTTATATTAATATATATTATATTATTACCATAATTTAAAAATGTAATCAATTATCAATACAAAACTGAAAAATTCTTATCATTTTTTTCTATCAAGCTAATTTATTAATATAAAACGCAAAATTATGCACACAAAATGGATTTTCTTCCGACCATCTCCTTGGTTAAAATTATTGATTTTAAATTCGTACCTCTCATACCACTATCAATCGAACGATTGGAAGCGTCATCCAAACGACCCTCGCTACCGCTACTCGCACAGGAATCCTGTGGGCTCAGTGGACTCAAACCGATAATATTGCCTACATAAAGATAATCTTTTAAAAGTGTCGATAAAAGTAAATTCATATGTACAAGAACCATATAATTGAAAATTACCGGTGTGATCTCCAGAGACGCTAAAGCTACGCGGCTTATGCTTAGATGAATTGTTCGCGTTATTAGAACGCTCGAAGATTTCAAATTGTTGTGGTGGCGGCACCGGTGGCGTCAAGCTATTCGAACGACGTTGACGGGGGTGATGAAACTGTAAAAACGGGGGAGCCGTTTGCGTAATAAATAGAGTGCTCTGATCAGAGCTCTGCTGCTTGGAATTCCTTTGCCACAGACTCTCCCATCTTATAATAGAAGAAGATAAAAATACATTAGAGATAAGATAACATTTTCAGTATCACACTATTTTTCTGATTGACTCACTTGATTGGAGTATTTGGATAATCTTCGAGACCGGTAACAGATGGTGGATTACTAATACGTTCTTCCAAATGTTTGAGCCACTGTGTTAAAGAACGTCTATCGGGACCAGTTATAGCTGGATGTATCAGAATGTAGCTCAAGAGCTGCTGTGTTTGATCTATAAATTGTCCCGTGCTTACACAATGACTCACTAAATCTGGTATTGCCAATAAGTAGAATCGTTTGCACTCTGTATTCCCAGGCTTTAATAAGGGTAAATGCATCAAAAGTTGTTTAACTGCAATTTCTGTTGACTCTGACATCAATGCGGAGATGTAACCTGAAAAAATGGAATAAAAATATTCTAGAATATTTATTATATAGAGAACACATAAGAAAGAAAAATTGTATAATATTCACATGTCGCACACACATATACACATGTATATACATATGTATATGTATATGATATATATTGTACACATTTTATTAAATCACATATGTTATTATTTCTAAATGTAGAATGTAAGCATTATAATTACTTGGATTATTGGCATTTGTTTCCTTTGTATCCAATTCAGTGACAGAGAGCAGCAAGTGTTGTATTGCTTGTATAAGAAACTTTGCCTGAACATGGGGTATGCGACGCATCAGTGCATAAAGAACGACAGTTTGCTCGCATTCATTCCATTGAGAGAATACACGAACAAACTCGCCAAATTGTTCATTAAAAGCAGCATTAGACTTCATATTGGATTGCGTAAAAATTCTCGAAACACAGCCTAAATTACCAAATATCGGGTGATAGTCTCCAAATGGCTGCTAAGTGTCACTTCTCTGTTAAGGAAAATATAAGAAGCAGATAAAAAAATCTTTCTCACATTCTAATTTCAAACAATTAAATTATTTATTTACATTTGTTTACCAACATTAATATATATAACAGAGAAAAGTATAGAATCGAAAGGATCTGAATAGCTCAGCTGGAAGAGCAGTCGCCCGGCAAGCGAAAGGTCTCGGGTTCGATTCCCGATTCAGCGATTTTCGGATCTATATTTTTCTCTTGCATTCATTTATTTATTTTCCGTAGGGGGGTTAAAGGGGTATTGAAATTAAATCTCAAAATATGAGATTATTTCATATTTAAAATCTTGGCCGTGTCCAAGTAAAAATTTGGTGCCTTGTGCACCGGTATTTATTTCTAACGAAAAATTATTTAGTTTCGTTAGGATAACGCATTGTCATCCGCGATTTGGCTCTTGTTGCCCGTCTTATACGTTATATTTATTTACAGTTGTATCAAAATCCTTTGTCAAACAGTACACACACAAAAAGATTTAAACAAATTGTCATTTCAAAAAATAATAATTTAAAAAAAGCAATATATTGTTTTTATAAAAATGTCAATACTTTTTAAGTATTAAAAAAATTAAAAATTATTGAAAATGAAAAAAATTGTTATAAAATTAATTACTTTATTCACGTTTGCTTCTCTAAATTGCATATACGTTAATACAAACTTTATTGCTCTACGTAGGATTTTAAAAAATTAATAAAATAAAAAAAGGTCTAAAGATATAAATTACTTTAAAATAGTAGTCTAAATGTTTCAAGTTTCACGGCGATGTCTTAAATAAAAACGGATGCAGTTTGCACTCATGCACACACCACGTTAGAAGACCATCGAACGTGACGCGCACATGCAGTGAGAAAAATTAAAACAATCTCCGCAATTGTCTCAAAATTCGCGAAATTGCCCCGATAAATAATTCCGGAAAAATTAAATGTTAATATATATAAAAATGAAACAAATTGTTATAAAATTAATTACTTTATTCACGTTTGCTTCTCTAAATTGCATATACGTTAATACAAACTTTATTGCCCTACGTAGGATTTTAAAAAATTAATAAAATAAAAAAAGGTCTAAAGATTTAAATTACTTTAAAATAGTAGTCTAAATGTTTCAAGTTTCACGGCGATGTCTTAAATAAAAACGGATGCAGTTTGCACTCATGCACACCACGTTAGAAGACGATCGAACGTGATGCGCACATGCAGTGAGAAAAATTAAAACAATCTCCGCAATTGTCTCAAAATTCGCGAAATTGCCCCGATAAATAATTCCGGAAAAATTAAATGTTAATATATATAAAAATGAAACAAATTGTTATAAAATTAATTACTTTATTCACGTTTGCTTCTCTAAATTGCATATACGTTAATACAAACTTTTTTGCCCTACGTAGGATTTTAAAAAATTAATAAAATAAAAAAAGGTCTAAAGATATAAATTACTTTAAAATAGTAGTCTAAATGTTTCAAGTTTCACGGCGATGTCTTAAATAAAAACGGATGCAGTTTGCACTCATGCACACCACGTTAGAAGACGATCGAACGTGATGCGCACATGCAGTGAGAAAAATTAAAACAATCTCCGCAATTGTCTCAAAATTCGCGAAATTGCCCCGATAAATAATTCCGAAAAAATATCACGCGTTCGACGATCGCGGATAAATAATGCACTCACTTATATCGCAAAAAAGGATCGCAATCAAGTTTCTACGTCGCATCTCCGCTTCTCTTCCCGATTTCCGGTCCAGAGATTTTCCTCCACCCTCGCTCTATCGTCCCTCAAAAAATTCGGAGCAAAATATTACGAATATTGACATCCCCCGTATTTCGCGATCTAACTCCTCCGTACGTAAGTAATGTATACATACATGTACCGCCGATAAGAATTTCGCTGAGGTCAAGTTTGTTTACCCCGTGCGCGATGCGTGTGTATTTATAGCCTTTCCTCTTGCGACTCGTTCGGTGCAGTGCAATGGCATCGCATCGGGCTGCGCGCGCGAGACGAGGAACGACGCGGAGAGAGAGAGAGAGAGAGAAGGGAGAGAGCGGAAGAGACGAAGGATGCGCGATAAGATGCATTTTTTCGTCCCTGGACTGAGAACCCCGAAATCTCGCCGAGATTTTCCCGCCCCGAGAGCCACGGAAATCCGCCGAGGCTTCCCGCATCGGAGATTATCGCCCTTGTCAACGTTGCGCGTCACCGTGTATATATACATATATATATATATTTTTATATACACACACACATATATATATATATATATATGTTTTCTCGATGAGGGAGAGGGAGCGAGAAACCGGTAGCGAGAGAGACGGAAATACGTATATACGCACGAAAACAAGGAAAATGAGGAGAAAAAAATCCGAAAAAAAAAGGAGCAAAATTTTCGTACTTGGGAAATAATCGAGAATCCTGGGAGGGAAGGACGATCCGGAGAGTGTTCGCGTCGAAGACGAGGCAAACAAACAATATAAACGCCGATGTCGCCTCTTTTCGTCCTTCCTCCCCTTTCCCGTCCTCGCCTGCGCGAGCGCTTCTCGTCTACGAGAGGTAAAGCGCGATCGTTTTCTCGCGAATTAGCGCCAAGCGCGATACTTACGAGAGACGCTTCTCCGTTCCTTCCTCTCCGACGTGGCGACGACGACGACGACGACCAGTTCGCACGGTTTACAGCATCTTTCCTCGCTGCCCGATCGGGAGAAACATCCGTCCACCATGCGGTGGGACTGGACTACGTGCTCAACTGCCAGAGCAGCACCCGACAGACCCGACTTCCACTCCGCTTCGGGCCGCTTCGGGGCGCTTCGGGCCGCGGCACCTTCGCGCGCGCGCTGATTGGTCCACGCGTCGACGGCCCACCTTCGCGCGCGCTGATTGGTTTACGCGCCGACGCGTACTTGCAGCGCGGGTCATTTGAATCTCCCGAGCGCGAGCTTGTTTATTATCTGCCTTTTGGTGTGATAAATTTGGAATTGGAATACACGGAATTGTTTTTCATCTTCAAATTAATGAAGAATGTTATTTTCAACATGGGCAGAGAACGTTTGCTCTCCTTTTCAATAAACTGTTTATGGAATTTATTTGTATATTTAGTATTGAAAAAATGAAATTAAATGAAAATTAAATTTACGAAAATTAAGAACTAATGAATTTTTATTTTCTGTGCTACCCCTTGGAAAAAATCCTGCGGATAATCCTATGATTATAAAATATACGCATGTATAATTATAGGCAGGAATATGATCTGAAAATAATCGTTTCTCGATTAATAAAAATGATATGATGAATTAGAGGAAGAATAAATTTAGAATAGTCTATGTATTTTCAAATTTGTCCAATTATATCTTCTGATTATCTTTGGTACTAAATTTTCTTATTTAAAAATGAGACATGGTATAAGATAAAACTTTATATTTCTTGCAACGTAATCAGATAAGAGTAGATTAAAATAGAACTGTCTCTCAACAGATTTTAATAAAGTCGAGTGATAAGAAAATTGACGGAGTATAATTGTATTGAAAACATATGATAACTAATAATTAGCTGATTATTATAGTTGTTAATTGAAATGTAATCACGCGAAAGGGATGATTTATTATTAACATATTTCGTATATTTTCTTTTATCATACACAGTTGTCTTCTTGCTAATTAAATACTTTTAAAGAGATTAAGGCATATTTTTTTATTTTTATTCTATGCATACATTATTCGTTTTTCTACAGTATAAATTATAATTCTATAATACATATATATTTGTTATCGGTTTTTATCAGTATCTTAAATTTATCGTCCAAATGTAAACGATTCTCGTTTTCCTTTACATTGAACGCGACCTTTGTTTATTTGGGAAGTGTTTAAACTCCTCCAAAAATGTGACTTTCACGGTCATGGAAAGTTTTATGTGCTTCTTCAGTTTGTACATGTATCACTTACAACATTCGAGATTTGTAAAAATTTATTTTGGCATTTACGAATAAGGAAAATAAATTATAAATATGAGTACTTTATAGCTTTAAATGCTGTTCATATTTGCAGCTGTAAATATCCAAATTCAATATTAGGCGACACAGCATTTAATTACTCGATTAATATCATGATTAAGACACAACTTCAAACTTTTATCTCATTATTGCTTCTTGAATTTATTAGAACAATATAAATAAAGTTACATATATGCTGTACCATTTAAATCTATATTGAACTCATCAATACATAGTTATTAAATATACTTAGACATTTTATATGTATAGTCACACGCTTTCTTAATTTTTTTTATAAACATATCTGTGCAAATAAAAGTATTTTGAATAAAATTTATAGATAAAGATTTAATTGAAAAATAATAGAAATAAATATAGATCCTAAAACATTTCTTATAAATAAAAATCATATATTCACACGCAAAAATATTGAGTGATGTCCTATCACAATCAACAGCATCACCAATATTCATGTATGAACAAGTTGGATATTAACCAAGAGTCCCTTCCAATTGAAAATAAAAAAATTAAACAATTTGAAAAAGACAATTACTCATATTAGAACTATGTACTCTTTTATATTATTTAATACTACTTGGTGTTAAATATTAAACATTCTCGTTCAATCCATCGCTCTCTGTGACAAGAGCTCGTTCTAGTATAACACGACCCTCTTTGTATCGCTGCTGCTCATCTGTTGCAAATTCATATACCCATCCGAGCTTAGCGTCACAGTTTTTACAGCTGACATCTCGAACCATGTGGCGACCCGTCAGCATCACTCTATCCTGCACTTCGCTGCACATTACATTATAAATTAAAGAGATCAGATATTCTATAAATATTCACATTTTTTAATCTGTAATCATATATATCTTTCCATCTAGTTTTCTTTCTTTCTTTGAAGTATCTTTTATGATTGAGTAAGGAAGCATGCAATTTATAAAAATATATATATATGTATTGATGAAATGTGCCAGAAAGTCGAGCATGAATACAGAATGTATGTTATTTTGATGGAGCTATTATTTTGTTATTAAAGTTTGATCTGAAAATAATTAAAAGGACGCACCTGTAATTGAGATTGACGACTTTGTTGAAGAGGAAAGCACGTCCTGTAGCGCCTGTAAAGCGTGTGCTTACGAGTTGTGACCTGTTGGTGAGATTTGTGTCGCAGGAGGCGCAGGAGAACAGACGATTGCCACCGATGTGCTCCAGAAATATTACTCCCATCTTGAAAGGCAACTTGGACGATGTCGGACGAGATGAAAAATCGACAATTGGCAGTGAATCGATACCGATCTCGCGTTGCAAAATACAAAACTCAGACAACTTGCGGCGCTACCTTATTGTACCGTGTTTACTTCGAATAATGACAGGTGTATACTAACATGTGAAGAGCAAGTGGGGAAATGTTTTCATCATACGCCATAGATCACTCAACATATGTAGACTCGAAACGTCACTTTGATGACCAATGGTCATGAAATATGAATTAGACATGATACGCTTCAATATTCTTTTTTTAATTAAAAAAAATTAATATTTTATAATTAGATTGTTTTCAACAAGCTTTTTAATTTCCTATGTGTTGTATATATGAGAAAAGATATGTAAATTACAAAAATCTTTCTAGTGATACAATTTTTCATTAATTTATTATATTAAGCAATATAATTATTTTATATATTCTAATCATATTCTTATACAATAGTTTTAATTGTTACAATGTAGTGTAAATTAAGAAAATTTTCATAAATTTGAATAAAACCTCAATAACTTCATAAATATATTATTTCTTTACAAACTTAATTTATTCTATATAAATTATCACGCATTTTGTCTTTTATTAATAATTTTATATATAACTATCAAATATATATATATAGATTTTTTAAATCATAAAATTGTCCAATAAAATATATTTTTATAGTATACAAATAATATACATATATATTCTCTACAAATACATATTGATAAAAAATTCAAACATAATACAAAAATGATTAATTACATTTCCTATATTATTATTACACTATATGATCGCAAATAATATATGTATTTCTATATAATAATTAGATAATATTAATAAAGTATATACATATATATTACATCAAAATATTATATCTTTATTATTCATATAAATGGTATTACAATATGTACACGTATAGACTCGTGTAAATTACATTCCTTTAAAGCTAGGTACATAGATGTTTTGTGCAGTAAAATTCGAAACATTCTCCCCTGATTTCATTAAAAGTCCAATCTTTATACATTGGCAACTAAGCCAGATTGTAAAGTCCTGCACCAGCACAGTCGCAATAAATTGCAGTACAATTGTAAAAGTCAAAATGTGGTCAGAAGAGCGAAACGAATCGAAAATATATGTTGTTGGTCGGTTATTTAATCACTATATTCTTCATATCTCTTCAAGGCACATTTGAAATATAATCAGTACATTCCTTTGCAAACTACAGACAAACCTATTAACGTTACATGCTTGCTTCTATCACTTTACAAATAGATTAGAAATTTAATAAAATTACAGAATTTTTATACACCTGCGTAGAAAGATAAAAAGAGAGAAAAAAATAGAAAGTTATATGTATACGTAAGAAAGAGAACAAAAGAAAATAGAAAGCAAAAAGAAATCAATAGAAAAATATAAAAAACTCCTTTAGCCAAAATCACAGACAAGTCTCTTACTTTCTCAAACAGAGCACAAAGTCGCATTCTCGTAATTCTAATGCTAAATTTATATATATGTATAATAAGATATTATATAATTGATATATATAAATATTATAAATACACATTCACATATGCAGATAGTCTTATCACTCTATTACATGCATACACGGATACACACGTATTTTAATACAAAGAGGTATTCATCTATAAAGTGCATTCGCATATATACTTGAGGAATTTATACAAATTTAAATTTACACGTGTAAGCGCGCGTCTATTCGCATGTATGCATGTATTATAACATGTATAAACAGTGGTCGCTTATATGTATATATATGTATATCCATATCATTTTGATTATACCCTTTTGATGTTCAAGTCGTGTCGTAAAGGATATTTCACTTTATAATTGTATATAATACTGCACCTATACCTATGTACACATCATACGCCCGTAGAATATTTTATAATAAAATATAAGATAAAATATATATTTTTCGTGCCTGTACACATACATTATCGGAAATGATAACGATGATAAATTTATATCAAAAATGTTATAGTTTGCGTCAAAGCAAGAAGAATTATTAACTTATATAATCATGTCAATTTGCATATCCAATTTTGCATTAAAAAAATGACATTAAAATGAATTATCAATTTTATAAAAAATAGATATACATCTTTGCATGTTTAGGTTTCATTTCTTTAACTCAATTCATCTTCGCAAGATAACTTTGTACCACCTAAATCAGATTTATCGTTGGTATCATGAATTATACAATTTATATGAAGAAAAAATCTAATGTAAAAAAAGCAAAAGAAGGATATTATTTTGAATTTAGTCATGATAAAATATTTACTTTGTATTAAAAATAATTGATTATCATTATATATTACATTAGATAATTCAATTATTTTATGTACAACAATGAGTCATATAAATAAAATCTACTTTTTCTAAGCCATAATACGAAATAATAAATTTAATTTTTAACGGAATAAATTATAGAAAATATTTCATTTTTCTATTTTTTCAGTACAATTATTACTCCAAATAAAAAAAAATTCCTCATATATTGAATAATGGAATTATCTATAGTCAGTAGCAGTCGTAATATATATATAATATCTGTAATAGTAAAGATTAACAATAAAGATATTAACAATAATCATTGTTGTCGATACCGCAATAGTATCGTTTATAACAGCACTTGGAAAAGTATGTGTTTTCCAGTAATAAGAAATTACATGGAGAAAACTTAATAAAGTTTTGGTTCTTATAGTGCAATCTTACATATCATTAATGGGTAACACAATTAAATGTTATTTTTGGTAAGTTTCGTTCTGTTGGCGGCAACTGTTGCAAGACACGCTAAAGCTTCAAGATCTGGAGATGCGCACCAAGCTATTGAGATGCAAATTATGTTTAATAAAAGATTTTAACGACATAGCAATTATATAAATTACAATTAAAATTAAATCGTAATAATTTCTTTCTACAAAGATTTTAACAATATATCACATTATAAAAATATAATTATAAAAAATTTATACATACAATTATTTATATTTAATTTTTCAAATTTATAAAAATTGAAATTTTTTAAAATTAATATCATATATAAATAGTAAGAAATATTAAATTATTTTCAATTGACATGTTGATAGAAATTGTACAACTTACATTTATTTGATTCTTGATCCTCAGAGTGTTTGGTGGAATTTATTGCCGCAGCGTTCCGCGTGATGGTTTGCTTTCGAGCTTTTCGTTTTTGACTTCCAACGAGATGAGCTTTCTCTGAATCTTCACAACTTTCATTTATCGTACTTTGAGTTTGACCGTTCGTTTGATCACTAGAAGATGGATTATTTTGATGTCTTTTATTTCCTGAAGAATTAAACTTTTGCAGAATTTTCTTTTTTTTCGTACGTTGCTGTTTTTTCTTTTCTTGAAATTCCTCTAAACTCAAAGACGGTAGTGCCTCAATCTTCTTTTCTAAATTGAAGTCCCTGTAAATGTAAGTTTATTATATAGTATATATATTTCTCTTTCTTATATATATTGTGTGTGTATGTGTACACTATATAATAAACTTTCTATATTATAATTTGTTTTAATGAGATTATTTAGATAATTTTCACAAAAAAAAAAAAAAACATACTCAGCACGAAATCTTTTACGTGCCGTCCAAGGTCCGTAATCCAATTGATCTTCAGCTCCTTCAGTCTCTGTATCTTCAGGTTTCGAAGCTTCCATTTTTCCTTCAGCACTAAATATATTTCCTAATTATTTTTATTTGTAAAAAGAATATGTCTTCGAAAAATTTGAGAAATAAAAATACATACCTTTCCACAAGATGTTCTAGTTCTCCTCGAGAACTGTTTCCTCCCTCACTGCTTAAGGAATCTGTCTTTTCACTGACATTCGAAGAAATGGAATTTCTTCTTTCATTTGGACGTTCATCAGGTCTAAATCAATAAAGGATATATTTCTTTACAAAGTTGTAATCAATGAAATTAGATGACTAGCATTATGTAAGATTTTAATTACTTACCCGTGGCTTCCAGCTGTTCGTTTTCGTTTGTTTTGTTGGCCAGATGGACCGATATTTTTCATCTGTTCAGCAAGGAATTTTTGATAACGTAAACCTTTACATGTTCTTTCGCTACGAAAATTATTCTCCTCTGATTGTGTCTGTGTTGTTACAAAGGAATTTATTGCATGTTTCTCATTTTCTATGACCTAAAATACAGAAATTTCCATTGGTTACACTAGATATAAGAAATTGTATAATATTGCATCATACATAATTTGAAAAATATTTTGTAAATCATTTTCATAAGCAGATCAAATCTTACCATTTCATGTTGTTCGTTGTTATTTGATTCAGCTCTTTTCCTCTTCTTTTCACCAAAGAGATCTGCTTTACAATCTCTCTTTTGATCACCTTGGAAAGGTGATTCTGTATATCTTTTTTTTGGTGGTTTTGGAACAGTGTCATTTTCTATTATATCATTAATTGTTGTCTGTTCTTCAGATGGCTCTATCTTCTGAGGAGTAAAAAGAGAACTCAGTCCACCAATCTGTGATTCATCTGCTAATTTGCCTGGTTGGATTGATTGTCCATCCCTTCTGTCTGACTTTGTACAATCGGAAGACTCATATTCAGATTTGACACTATCTATGAATTGCATGCCATTACTAGACTCTTGCTTCTTGTTGGTAGGCCTAGTATTTAAAGTACGTAATGGAGGTGCTGGCAATTTGTACCATTTGAAATCAGGGTTCGCATTTAGAAATGCATCCTTGTACTGGAAAAATAATTAAGTTTTATATATATATATATACATGTTTTTTCTATATAAATTTATTGACAATAGTTGTGAGAACAGTTGTGAGAATAAAGCAACGTTTTATTTTTCATAGAAAAACTTTCTTACTTTTTTTTATTCTACAAAATTATCGATTTACTAATTTTTTCATATATATAACTGCAATTGCATCCTTACCTCCTGTGCAAGATTTGTGTAGGAACGCTTCTGGTCAGGCTGAAGGGTCGCCCACCACTCACCCAAGACCCTGGTGACTGCTCTATTTTCTAAATGTGGAAAGCCAGATCGCACCGAGCCACGATGTCGTTTGCAAAAAATCAAAAATGCATTCATGGGACGTCTTGCATGATGAGCTGGTTCCCGACTTTCACGTGATTCCTATTCATTTACACAATCAATTTTATTTATATATAATAGCCAAATCACAATTACATTACAAATAATAAATAAATGTGGCAAAGACAAAATATATATAATAAAGCTTTTTCATTCTATTTTTCTTTTAAGTGGGTGTGGTTCATTAGCATATTTAATACATGACTAAATACTATAATAAATATATGAAAAATATTTATTCATCTAACAAATTTACAATGTATTCCTTGAAGTCTTTAAATATTTATTTTTACATATCTTCTTTGTACAAGTATTTATATGTATTCTATATTTAGAATGGACTGCGAAACAAAAAATCTATGTTACTTAAAGAAAAAATCTTTTCACAATCTTGATTAATGTTTTTACTTTTCTCTAATTAATTATGTCATATAAATAAATTTTAATTTGTACTGATCGGCAATTTCTATCACAAATCTTTCAATTTATATCTACATATATTCTAATCAAAGGACATTCTAAGCAACATGTTAAACAAGTTTTCCAGATAAACAACAAAAATGTCTTTTCTCTCTCTCTCTTCCTTCTCTATTAGGAAATATTCGTGGTGAGTATCATCAAGTTTTGCATCACAGCCATAAGTAGCCATGTTGCTGTATTGATGAAGCCTTAAAGTGAAACAGCCTTTCATTATTTGTCTCATATACATATTCATATTGCCTGCTTAAACTTTTACACTGGATATTGATCCATATTTAACGAAATTTAGTCGATCGATTCGGCTGACAACGAGATGAGAGAGAAAATGCAAAAAATAAATAAATAAAAATCAAATCTCTTTCATAGAAAAAAAAAACAAGTTCACGAATAAAGAAAAAAATTGCAGTACTAAAGAAAAAAACCTTGTCCTGGTCACACAAAATGGAACGCGCATATAATTGCAACATATGTCTCAATATGCGGAATAAAAGGAAGCGCAGCTGTCAACAGAGAGAAACGTCAAAATGATTCGCTTGCGGAATCCGCGTGATTTATTCTCTCATGCAAAATCATGCGTCGTCGTCGTCGTCGTCGTCTCGCGATGACAAGATGTTTTGTGACAGAGAATGAATGCACGCGTTCCGTTTACGATCCATATATATGTAGCGATAATTAACGCTCGAGGAAAAACGTAAAAAGGCGATCGAACGTTCACCGTTTCGTGTGATCGATTAAATGCAGCGAGCTCAAACAAACATTCGCTTATCGACGAGATACAAGACGCGATATGTATATATATATATATATTTTATTATATATATATGGACGACGGCGGAGTCTTCTCGATTATCAAACGGGACTTCCGAGGAACGAAAGATGAGATGCCAGGGCATGGCAGACGGAATCCAAACGAATTACACGTCTCTCCTTCCTTCTCTCTCTTCAAATTGTCGATTTCTCAATCAGGAGAACTGTCACATATGTTGTTTCATCCGGGGATTACGTCGGAATAAAATCGTTCGCTTCGACTCCATAATATTCCGAGAAAGGCACAGGCTTCTTTGTGCCAGGAATAAAGAAAGAAGGAAGGAAAGAGACGGCAGGAGGAGACAGATGTGAACCCGTTCGACGAGAATTCGCAGCATTCGGGAGCTGTCATGTTGCGGTTCCTGCCGACGAACGCTGCATCGTAAAATATATGCACATATATATGACAGCTGCGCCGTCAGCAAAAAATTCGCGAGCGAGCACGAATTTTTCAACAAATTTGTCAAATAAACAAATAAAAAAAAAAATAAATCAAAGGATTCCGAAAATAGCCCGAGTTTATCTGGAGGCCGACACTCACATCGTCCCCGTGATCGTCGTACATCTTTGTCTCGTCACTGACGTTTCTCGCGCACTGACAGCTGCTCGGCTGACCGATGTAAATACAGACTGCGCGATCTTTGAATGAAGACGGGCGATTATCCGGGAATGCGTTCACGCACACGTCGACGTCGTCGTCGTCGTCGTCGTTCCTCGTCCCTCTCTCTCTCTCTCTGTCGTCACTCGTCGATATCGCGCACGACGTACATGTGTGCGTGTATATATTTATATATGTGTACAGGATGAGGTATTCGGGATCAAAACCGTGACTTTTGACACAAAAGCAAGGCGCGTTTCGTCCCCAGGCGTCGACCTGGTGCGGCCCAGCCGAGGTTCGTCCTTCGCGACGTTGATTCCCCACCGGCGTGAGAGAGAAAAAAGGAAAAAGAGCCCGCGGCGCTCATCTCGCACTCACCTTACGTTGTTGCTCGTTGGCAGCCATTTCTGATTTCACTTGACAATTCACTTCAGCGGCGCATAATGCGGACAACAACGAGACACAGATAAAGCTGTGCACACCGCTGTTCGTGTTTCACACTCGCGCACTGACTTGCTCGTTTCGTGCTCTCTCTCTCTGTCTCTGTCTCCCTCTCCCTCGACTCGTTTCTTTCCGTCTCCTTCTCTCACGTCTGCGTGCTTTCTGTAGCCTCCCTCTCTCCGTCCGGTTCGAGTAATATCTTATATTGCCGACACGTTCGCTTGCTTATTTCATACAAATGCAGAGTCGCGGAGGTAGGTTCGCGCAGCCCACGTAAGAGAAAATTCTCGTAGGATATATAACCAAGCGTGACGTTCTAGCGAAACATTCCGAAACGCTCGCGAGACGTCAAATGTCATTCGCGATTTTTCACGAATTAAAATCCTCGCATCCTTCAATGAAACATGAATAGTCGTCGCGATCGTTGACGTTTCGTGACTTCACTCGATCACGATCGATTATCGATTTACGCGTACCTTTTCGTTTCCATGCGGAACAAGGGTGATTTCCGAAATGCGGCGCTCGCGAGGCGGATTTGAATTGTCGCGCGCGACGCGACCCGCGCATGCGCGGCCGAGGTTCCTAGAGGGCGCTTGCGCGCGCCGTGCGTCGCACAGCTGATCGCACCGCCGTGCGGCATCGAGGCAACAGCTGTTCCGCGGATGATTGTCAAATTTAGAGCCGCGGTGCGTTTTAGTTTCCCCCTCCCTCCCGATTAATTTAGAAGGGGGGAAAGTGAGTAAGCGGTTGAATCATTTTCTTTTCGGACGACATTTTAAAAGAAAGAACTGGGATGCACATGCAAATGAATGTCTAGAATAATGTTGTAGGTATATACTCAGATATCTTCTAATACATGCATTTTTATTTACGATATCTATATATGATTAATGTGTTCTTGATAAACATGTAGCTTTGGGAAATTTCGAACTTTGTTCGAAAGATATTTAATAGATGAGTTTTTAATTGTCAAATTATTTAAATTCTCTCAGATAACCTAAGAATTGTGTGTATGTACATATATATTGTGTATATATATATATATATATATATATATATATATATATATAATTCTTTGTTAATTATTTTGTTTATATATATATGTATATATATAAAATATATACGTCATAGAGCACGTGTCTCTTTATTGTTCAAGATAAAGAGCAAGGTTCGAGATTGACCATGGAGGTCTACCATCGTCGTTAAACTACAGACTGTCGAGAGAACGTAATATTTAAAATTAGATAAAGTTAAATATATCGTTCTCGCAAAGTACGACTGGAGCATAATATTTTTTTGTATGTTTAACATAGGTCAATAACGATAATAATGACGATAATAACGGTATAATTTGTCATTCAGTATGTTTTCTCTTTTTTGTACTTTATGTACTCTGTGTCTTTTAATTTTTCTGCTATACAAGACAGTATATATATTTTGTTATATAATATTTCACATGACAATATGAAAATATCAAACGTCAGAGTTCCTCTCGTGTAAATAACTTTTTCAGATTCAATAATATATCCATACATAAATATAAAAGTTGATATAATATATAGAAATTTTCTGATAATTATATATATATATATATATATATATATATATATATATATATATATATAAATTGTTCATGTGCCAATGCATTATTTATATGCAGCCATAAATATAAAAAGATTCCAATTTTTATGCTTCATACATTATTTATACATGCTTTACAACTATGAATAATAATAATAATAATGCAATGTATATATATTTTCTTCGTTGAAATGCGTTGTAATTCTTTCTCTGGCTCTTTCTCTCTCTTCTTCCTTCTCTCTCTCCATCTCTTTCTATGTTTATACTCCGTTTGTCACGTATGTGTGTAGACAGTGAGACACTAGCTACTATGATAAACATTTAAGCTTATTTTCAATCTCACGATCGTACGATTACGCTAGTCGGATTCTCACTCGCGATAATACAATGCATATTACGTATCTGCAATACAATTGTTATTCATAATATTTGCTTAATATTGTATTGTAATTTTTTAATAATATAATTATATATATATATATACACCAACAAAATATACGTATTTTTCCATCAACAACAATTTATATCGATATATTTAATATGTAATTGTAATATTTCTTTTGACATATCTTGATTTTTTTCTATATTACTGAAAACAGTGCCAAATTTTTATAAATGATAATAAAGAGAATTATCGATGATCGATAAAGTAGGAATTTTTGATGATCGATAGAGCGTCCTTTCTTATCGACTATTTCTTTCTCTGAATAATTCGTGTTCTTGCAGTGGCGCCATTTGCGGAGGAACTAGACACTACAGTGATTCAACTTCGTTGTTTCGCGGGAGTCGGACGGATTGATTGTCGTGCATTTTATGTACAAGGTAAGCCAGCCTCATAAATCGGGATTTGGTTCCGATATCCTGTCTATTCGCCGCGAATTTGCATGCGGATAACCCGAGGGAAATTGAGATTTCCTTATCGCGCGTACAAATAAATCGCGAGCTTTCTCTCCGAAAAGTAAATTTTTTTTTTTTAAGAAATTCCGCGAATCTCTGTCACTATTCGATTTATTTCTTGGAATACAAATATTTTGAAAGTAATAGACTTTGCGAAGGCATAATGCAATGCGCAGGTAGATATAATTGAATATGCTTTTTACAGATTATGCGGCATTATTGTGGTGTTGAGAGTATCGGAATCGTGGCGATCGATATAACGGCATCATGGTGGTCAATACAGAGGAAGCATAGTGTTCAATATAGCGGAATCATGGCGGATTTGCATGCAGGAATTGCAGGATTTCGATGCGGCATGGTGAGTCATCCGATCTCAAATTGATAATTGATCCCCAGTTGTTTTTGTATATGGGGTCATTAATATATCTTTTAATAATTTATATTAAAAGTTGAAGCACGTATGCATTTCTCTTATACATATATATATTTATGTGATATATTCTGTGCTTCTATGTGATTTATGTCCAAATTTATTTACGTTTGAGCGGTCTATATATGTACACATGTACATATAATACACAAGTAATAATATAAATAATAATACAATATAATAAAAGTATAAAATTAAATTTATAAATTTAAAATATTATTGTATTTGAAATATTTTTTCGAATTTGTTTTATAGTAATATTTTTCGAATTCTTTTTGAAAGAGAAAAAAAAATTTAGACAAAAATTTTGAGACTAAGAACTTTTTAAACTTATAACTATTTATAATTAATTATCATTAAAATGTTAGAAGATATTCTAAGACTAAAAATTTTTATAATTTATAACTATTTAATATTAATTATTAATATTTATTATATTATAATACTATATATATATATATATATATATATATATATATATATATATATATATTATTTATTATAAATAGTTTTTTATTTTTATTATAAATAGGTTTTGCATATTTTATTATTTTAATTATTATTATTTATATTATTCATTATTATTTTGTCGGGGGGTATTGCATAAATTATTGTAAGATGTACACATTGCGCAATATTGCGTCTGTTATTCAAAATAGATGTCTTCAGACTTTTTGATCGAGTTGAATCAAGCTTGCGTCACTTTTCCGATCTTTTCCGGAATATCGTAGTGCGAAATAATTTACGTGTTTGCCTTTTGTATCTTTTATGCGCCTCTTTTCCCTTTTCCCGACCTTTAGTACGATGTAAACTCATATAAAAGTCAATCTCTGGCAGTTGTTTCATAGCGATCGTCTTTGCGATTTGCATGTTTTTAATCTCGTTAGATGATTATTTAGCCTTTCAAATTTTTCTAACCAAGATCTTAATACTTTATTCAATTTTCTTAAATTTACTCAAAAATTTATAATATAATCTTCGCTCTCTCTATCTTTATTTTTCTTTATACGAGATACTGTTTGATTAGAGAATTATTTATTTTTAACATTTTAAGGAATTTAAATGACATTTTCAATTATGTGTATCGTATTAGTATTTTTCAATATTTTCTTTTAATTCTTGCATTTTAACGCTCTTATTTTGTGTTTTATAACTCCTGTATTATATTTTATTTTCACGTATCTTATTATGTCTTACATAACTTTGTATAACATATCCGGATTTGCTTACAGAATAGACTGACTTTTAGCTCATTTTTCTTTGTAAGAAAATATTTAGGACGGCCCGAAATCTTTTTCCCCGGCAATTGGATTTGTCTCCATTCACGTGCGGAAAGACAATCGGAAAAAGGCGATTGGGAAAAGGTGCCGAAAGGGGCTTAAGAGCAAAAGAGCACGTGGCTTCGACGTGGCGCGAACAATAGCGCTGTAACTAACTCATTTACGCAACATTGATTAACTTAAGACGCACAATGTCCTTCCCCTTTTGATTTACGACCACGTCTGTTTCTCAACCGACTAGTCTCTTTTGGGATTTATCCCGCTACGATAATCAAGTTAACCCTCGGTAATCAAACTTTGTGTCATAACGCACGTTGTAACGCAGGATTGCGTTACACACTATAGATCTCCACAAATAGTAAATAAAATAATTCATTCTTATTTCTTATATTTGCGCGCAATTAAATTTGCTTTAAGAAACTTTTCACTTAAGAGAATCGACCTCATATTTGAAAATTTTTCGTCAAATTATCGTCGAGGAAGTTCTCAAAGTTGTTTTTGAAGAATTCGTATATGAAAGAAACCGTACGAAGGGAGGAAGAGGACTGTTGTAGGTGATATTTTGTATGAACGAGAAAAATCTTAATGTAAGGGGGACATGAAATGATAAATTGTAATCACGACTTTGTTAGATTTCTCGGGAGAAAAGTTTATCGTGAAAAGTAATTTCGCCGTACTACCTACGTGAACATTTTTCTCTTCATTGCAAAGTAATACGGGATCAGAGGAAAGAATATAGAAAAACTTATTTTTTATAATCTTTACCTTCGAGTTCATGTGTGCTATTTTTCCCATCTGAATTGAAAAATTTCTATTTAATATCTTTCTCATACGTACATAAAAAGATATTTCTATTTTATCATATATATTTATATTGAAGCTAAATGCTTTATGCTAAATGCATTATGCGTTATACGCTCGAGGATTGTATAATATTGCGGGATAATCCATTGGGATATTGCGGAATAATCTAATGAAATGCAGTAGGGTTTAAAATTAAAATTGTTCATCATGTCTTTGACAATCGGAATTAATTAAAAGCACTTGATCGTTTATTCGCTTCGCTATACACACGATATTAAATTCAATTGTTATTCGATTAAAATTATTTGTGATATCAAATGTCACTTTTAATTAAATTATAATTTATACAATTAATAATTCGCCAACTGTGTGAGAATAATTATTGTGTACAAGAATATTAACACGCTTTCTTGCTCTTTCTCGCTTTTCTTCAAATGTAAAAATTATATTTTTTTACTCAAATTATTTGTTTTCAAAAATTTATACAATTTTATATATTTACATGTAAAATATATGTGCAATGCTTTATTAAGGAATGTATATATCTAATATTTCTATCAAATGAGAAAGTTTTTCAGAGAGAGAGAATTTTCCTTCAAAAATCTTTTTTTCTCAAAATATCTTTTTATCAATTCAACATTAAATAATTTCTAAATAAGACATCGGTCTGTACGAATTAAAATGTCTTGTCTCTGCGAAGTTATACCTTCCTCAAAGGAGAATAATTATGCGTTTTGCGAAACGTGAAAATGAGAATACACAAATTTGATGTATATTCTCTGGCAGAGAACGTATTCTCAATTTAATAGAGGCTTAGCATTAACGAACTTTAACGCTCGTCTTCGCAAACTAGCAAACAAAGTCATTCTGGACCACTAAACGCGGCTTCGTTCTCAGCTCGAGTGCGCCGGAACTTTCCAAGATGCGACGATGCAGATGCACGTCGAGAATTCATCTCTGTCTCGCGTTTCGCGTATAATACCCTCTTTCTGACACATTCCTTGAACGTGTCTTAAAGAGGAGGCGACGCCACTTCAGGAATCTAATCGTTATTGCTCGTGTAACTTTGCATCGAGTTTGAACGCTTGAATTCGTTACGAGGAAAGTCGCTTTCGTGTTGAATTACCACGTATATACTCCGAATTATTACTTTATTAAGTAATAGGAGACCTGTCGGCTCGAATAAACGTTTGAACTCACGATAGACAAGATTGCGCTAAACGAAGCATGCGCATCTTAAATCGGTTACCCCATATATGCATTCATATTTATTTCCTCTACGAATAATTATTTCCAACTACATCTGTGTGCGAATTGTCTTTATGATCCTTGTTTAAAGAGATTGCACTTATTAAATACATAGAAATTGCTGTATTTATTGTCTAATTTAATAAATCAGAAAATATATTATCATGATAAAATAAAAAATAAATCGTGGTTATAAACAATGAGTTGACGTGCAAAAAGATTTTTTGGTACGATCACGAAAATAAATTTATTTATAACTTTCTTTGGTGGTTATCATCTTCTTGTGAATGAATCGAATGCTAAATATTTTGAATAAATATTCTGTTTATATTTGCTGTGGAATAAGCATCTTCTGAATTTTAAAGCGCAAATGGACATTTGCTATTCATTCTTTGTTTGTTCAAATATACATATATGTATATATACAGGATGTATCTAAAATGTAATAGTGCAAAATCAAATATAAAAAATCTCCATATGTACAATAAGTGAGAAAAATTTTAGATAATTCTTTGTCAAAAATTAAGGGGGTTTCTTATATAAACATTCTTGTCCTTTCTTGAGAAGTTATACTTTTCTAAAGAGGGAGGTAAAAATTAAATTTTATTATTTTCTCAAATTTCAGAGGAATTAATAAAATAAAATCGAAAAAACATTCCACCAAGTTTCATTTTTTAATTTGAAATTTAAGAAAAGAAATAAAAACTTAATTTTTACCCTTCTCTTCTTAGAAAAATGTAATTCCTCAGGAAAAAATAAGAGTATATGTTTATATAAGAAATCTTCTTAATTTTTGACAAAGAATCATCTCTCTTGAAATTTTTTGAACTTATTTAGGTACACTCTGTATATATGTATGTATACAATATACATATTTCATGAAAGCTTCGAAAAGCGAGGGAGAAATGATTAGATCCGCGCTACCTTTTATATAAAAATTTCGTATTCTTTGTACGTCATATTTCTTTTCGCAGAAAATTATTTGATGATTCGACATCTTTCATTGCAAAAATTTTATAGTCTTGAATCTTCAGATTTTGATCTCTATTAAATCATCTTCTTAAATTAGATGAATCAGTTGTGCAAAAGCACTATTACAATTGAAAATATATATTCTTTCTTCTCTTTTTCTCACCGAAGAGTGTATAAATCAAATATAAAAAAATCTCCATATGTACAATATTTTAATAACGATAACATACTTGAGTTTAAAATATTAGTTTGCATAAGATTTTCTTTATCTGTGTCTTTTTTAAAATTACACATAATATCAATTAAACATAAACATACATACATCAAATAAGTATATTTTCACATATAATTTAAAATTACACTATATTTAGTAAATGTTGCTATATATACAAAGTGTTATAAAAGTACCGGAACAGCAGAATAACTCGAAAAATATGAGTCCTATAGAAAAAATGCTAAGTACTGGGTTTTTATGCTTTTTTCCTGGCTATCTGACGTTCAGTACTTAACATTTTTTCTAAGACTCATATTTTTCGAGTCTGCTGTTCCGGTACTTTTATAACATCCTGTATACATAATATAGAACAAATAATAGGGATATTAATAACAATTGTATATCATTTA